TCTGCCAGCGAGCCTTCAATACTCCACGTGGCCTCCAAGTGCACCTAGCATGGCACAAACGCCGTTGTGACGTCATCGCCACTTAGGGGTGAACGGCGGTTGTTGGTGTTATTCACCGTAAAGTTACGAGGCGCCGGTCTGCTTCGATGACGGTGGACGTTCAAGTTTCCCGGGATGTCATTCGGAGAAGGAGCAGGGGAGGCCTGTGTGTGACGACTCGTCACGGTCCAATTTTGCGGTTTGAAAAGATACCTCGACATACGATATTTAAAAGATAACATCCCGCTTACTGACTTCACTGGAAGTATTTTACGGTCCCAATTTTGGTATTTCTTATTGCATCTCCCCAACAGATGGCCGCACAATCATCTTACCCATTCCATCGGCTTAAGTAGTGAACTCTTGAAAAAAAATCCCGCCACTTTGCGGACACTTGCCTTTTTTGCGGGTAACCACGTTTCCCACCCCCCCCCCCCTTCCCTGCCCCTCCCCGGAGCACAAGATCGAGATCAAAATATCATCGTGGACACAGCCGTTGATGGCACCCGGCACACGGCACCAACGCTTTCTCCCCTCCCTGTGCCAGATTTCTGCAGCGGTTACAGATTCTGCTGCTGCTGCTGCACAGTCGACACGCTGCGACCTCCAAGATGTGTGCCCCTGACAGCGTCCCCCCAGCATCCGCTCTTAGGTTTTTGTCAATACATCATCCCCCCCCCCCCCCCCCCTCGAACGAGCGGTCCGATGTGGCGGGGGGGGGTGGTGGTGGTGGTGGTGTGTCACCGTGTCCGCGCGCTGCTGCTCGTGCGCAGGCCATAGCGGAGGAGGACTGCCTGGCGTGGGAGGACTTTGGGCTGTTGCTGCTGCCGCGTCTGTTGGAGTTGGTGCCCGACCCAGTGCCCAACGTGCGCATCCTCCTGGCCAAGACGCTGCGGCAAGCCGTGCTGGAGAAAGGTCAGACCCGCCGCCGTCATCACCGCAGCTGCCGCCACCGCCGCCGCCGTCAGCCGCCGCCGCCGCACGTTTTAAACGTTTGCACGCGCGAGACGATACAGTAACCCAAGAAACCTCTTAATGAGAATAAATTAAAGTTGATTCCTAATTGACCTCGGGCTTCACTGCTCGCGCCGCTGCCGCCGCCGCCGCCCATGCCCGTTACCGACCCCCCCCCCTCCTCCTTCCCCACCGCCACGCAGACGTTCCCGCTGGCGCCGCGTTGCAGGCGGCGGAGCAGGCGGTGCTGATGCTGCAGAGCGACGCCGACCCCGATGTGCGCTACTTCGCCACCAACAGCGTGGCGCACGCCAAGCACTACGACGACACCCGCAGCTCCAGCTCATCGACTTACTGATGATTTTGCTCGAAAATTTCCACCCCACCCCCACCCCCCCCCCCGTTTTTTTTTTTTTTAGCAGCAGCACACCAGCTCAGTTTTTTTTTGTTGTGTACTCGACTAATGTATAAATGTAATAATTAAATTTCGAATAAAATACACTTTTACATTTGGACTGACCTGGTCACCCTTTAAGCGCAGTTTTGAGTCGTCGCGGTCCGGGGTGCTTTAAAGGGACCTTGTTAGCGGTCGATGCTTTTGGGACTTGATTACAATTCGATTATATTTCGCCTGGGAAAAATGCCTCGGAATTGGGGGGGGGGGGGGGGGGGGGTGGGGTGGGGGGCACAATCTCGCTCGCAATGGTGCTGTTCGGGGTTGTCGCTCGACACGGCAGAGACGTAAAGACGCGGGGCAAGTGCTCGTTTCACGCGGGAGCAAGGTGCGTTGCTGAAAAGCACAGCGTTAAGCAAACGATTTCCCCCAAGATCCTGTGACGACAGAGTTTGGCGAGACACGATGTCCTGTACTACTACTACGCACTCCGTACAGTGAGATGGTGGGACTAATAACCGAGGGTACACCACCGCTTTGCAGTATCATTCCGCGTACTGTATCACTGTACCACTCGGCCGCGCAGCTCAAGATAGTAGTTCGTCGTCGACCACTCCGAGACCTCATTATAATGGTGTCAGTTCCGCGTTATAACGGTGCCAGTTCCGCGTTACAACGCTGCCAGTTCCGCGTTACAACGGTGCCAGTTCCGCGTTATAACGCTGCCAGTTCCGTGTTACAATGCTGCCAGTTCTGCGTTATAACGGTGTCAGTTCCGCGTTACAACGGTGCCAGTTCCGCGTTACAACGCTGCCAGTTCCGCGTTACAACGCTGCCAGTTCCGCGTTACAACGGTGCCAGTTCCGCGTTATAACGCTGCCAGTTCCGTGTTACAATGCTGCCAGTTCTGCGTTATAACGGTGTCAGTTCCACGTTACAACGGTGCCAGTTCCGCGTTATAACGCTGCCAGTTCCGCGTTACAACGCTGCCAGTTCCGCGTTACAACGGTGCCAGTTCCGCGTTATAACGCTGCCAGTTCCGTGTTACAACGCTGCCAGTTCCGCGTTACAACGCTGCCAGTTCCGTGTTACAACAGTGCCAGTTCCGCGTTATAACGCTGCCAGTTCCGCGTTATAACGCTGCCAGTTCCGCGTTACAACGCTGCCAGTTCCGCGTTACAACGCTGCCAGTTCCACGTTACAACGCTGCAACGCTGCGAGTTCCACGTTACAACGCTGCCAGTTCCACGTTACAACGCTGCCAGTTCCCGCGTTACAACGCTGCCAGTTCCGCGTTACAACGCTGCCGGTTCCGCGTTACAACGCTGCCGGTTCCGCGTTACAACGCTGCGGGTTCCACGTTACAACGCTGCGGGTTCCGCGTTATAACGGTGCCAGATCCGCGTTACAACGCTGCCAGTTCCGCGTTACAACGCTGCCGGTTCCGCGTTACAACGCCGCCGGTTCCGCATTGGGTGACAAGTGCTCCCTTGTGGAGGGAGAACCGCGTCACAGCGAAAACTCGTGTCTAGCGCGAATGCCGCAAACGCCTTCGGCGAGTGCAAAGCATTCTAATTCTCTCCGCTGCCGCGGCGTGCGTTCGCCCGAGCGTGCTGCGCCACCGTCAACGTTCACGGTGGACGGGAGAGCTGGCCGTGTCGACGTGAGCGACAGAGTTTGTTGAGAAGGCCACCGCGCGGACGCCGCCGCCGACGCCGACATCCAACCGTCGCGCAATTGGTGGCGGAGGTGGCATCTGCTACAAGTGCGGAACGTGAAGAATCGGTGTGGCGTCTACAGGAGGTTACACGACTTTTAAAGCCGTTGTTTAGTGTACATACCGCGCAGCTCGTTTGGAATCGGCAGGAGTAAAGTTGGACTTGGGAACAAATCGACTTACGAACAGGCCTCTGAAACTCGTTCGTAAGTAGAGGAGTCCCTGTATTCTCAGGCGGGGGTGGGTTGCCTTAACGGGCACGACATGGGCTGGAGGAGAGATGGACTGATGCGGTAGGTGAGGATGTGGAGCCGAGTGGACTTGGTACCAGGGGTGTCAAGATCGGCCTCTGTAGAGGAGGCTCGTGAAGGAAGCTGCCGCTGCTGCTGGGCAGTTGGAGGCAGTCGCCCCTCCAGCAACAACGGAGGGCAGAGGAGCGACGCTCACAACAACAAGCGGAGCGCCGGGCGGATAAGTACAGCAAGTTGGCACAAGTGGTGCATCTGCCAGTCATCTCAGTCAGCCAACCCACGGCACCATCTGGGTCTGTCCCGTGGCCTCCTGTCAGCAGCGAGCCTTCGACACTTCACGTTTGCCCTCAAAGTGCACCTAGCCTGGCACAGGCGCCGTGGGGACGTCACGGCCACTTAGTGACGAATGGCGGGTGTTGGTTGAGTTGGCAACTGCCTCCAACTGCCCAAGTAACAGTTGGAGGCAGTCACCCTCCAGCAATAGCGGAGGGCAGTAGTGGCACTCACAACAATTGACCGCCAAAAAAAGTTGGCAGAGTGAGGGGCCAGAGCTGATGCCCTCTGCCAGTCATCTCAGCCAACACATGGCACCACCTGGGTCTGTCCCGTGACCTGCCAGCAGCGAGCCTTCGACACTTGACGTGGCCTCGAAGCAAACCTAGCCTGGCACAGGTGCCGTGGTGACGTCACAGCCACTTAGTGGCCAATGGCGGGTGTTGGTATTGGTCGACTTGGCAACTGCCTTCAACTACCCCAGTAAGCAGTTAGAGGCAGTCGCCCTCCAGTAGCAACGGAGGGCAGAGGACCGATGCTCACAACAAACGAGCGGAGCGCCGGGCAGCTAAAGTGCAGCAAGTTGGCACAGTGGTGGGCACAGGTGGTGGTGCATCTACCGGTCACCTCAATCGGCCAACCCACGCCACCTGCTGGGTCTGTCCCGTGGCCTCCTGCCAGCGGCGAGCCTTCGACGCTTCACGTGGCCTCGAGGTGACGCTAGTCTGGCACAGGCGCCGTGGTGACGTCACAGGCGCCGTGGTGACGTCACAGTCGCCGGGGTGGCCTTTGACCAGGGTGAGCTTCCGCGGCTGTGGGCCGGCAGGGGGCGCTCTGAGTCGGGCGGTTACTCGAGGGCCGGAGGCTCAGCGCGAGGACCGGGGAGGTGAGCCGAGGGGGGGGCCGGGTTCGACGCGGGGTGGACGACGCACGGGGGTGACACGGGGGTGACACGGGGGTGGGCAGACACAGGGTGGACAAGGTAGATGTGTGGGACACGAGAGAGAGATACGGGGGGAGCAGGGAGACGAAGGAGGGCGGGTGGGGGGGGGGCTGTTTAGGCCGCCTGGGTTGGGGCGGCTTTGAGACAATGTCCGTGTCTCCGTGAGACACAGTGTGCGTGTGTCCGTGTGTGTGCGTGTGTGTGCCCGTGTGTGTCCGTGTGTGCCCGTGTGTGCGTGTGTGTGTGCGCCCGTGTGTCCGTGTGTGTCCGTGTGTCCGTGTGTGTCCGTGTGTGTGTGTCCGTGTGTGTCCCCGTGTGTGTCACCGTGTGCCCGTGTGTGTCCGTGTGTCCGTGTGTGCCCGTGTGTGCGTGTGTGTGTCCGTGTGTGCGTGTGTATGTCCGTGTGTGCCCGTGAGTGCGTGTGTGTGCCCGTGTGTGTGTGTCCGTGTGTGTGTGTGTGTGCCCGTGTGTGTCCGTGTGTCGCGACGAGTGTCGGCGTGAGTTGGACAACGGCGTCACGCCTCGTCCGAGTGTTGTCTGCACGGTTCCCGGGCCCGAGATTCGTCTTCTGCATGTGCGCGGCTCTCGTTCCAGCGTCTCCCCGGTATCAACATTGGACGCTGGTCTCACACCAGAGGCTGTTTGTGGGTGAGATCGCGTCAAAGATAAACGTGGCGTTAACCTTGTTACCACAGCCAATTAGTAAAGGTTTGTCACGTAAACAGAACAAGACAACTGCATTGTGGATGATAGTGGTCGCGAAAGCCTACGCGTTAGATTCAACGTTGGATCAACATTGGGTGTGTGCGTGGGCTCTCCGTTAGCCCAACATTACATGTTTACTTTGGTCAGAGGCTTTCCTGCTGTCTTCACGGGTGTCTGTCTCTCTGTGTCTGTCTCTCTGCGTCTTCACCGGTGTCTCTCTCGGTGTGTGTGTCTCTCTCTCTGTCTCTCTCTCTCTGTGTGTCTCTCTCGGCGTGTCTCTCTCTCTGTGTCTTCACGGGTGTCTCTCGGTGTGTCTGTCTCTCTCTGTGTCTTCACGGGTGTCTGTCTCGGTGTGTGTGTGTCTGTCTCTCTGTGTCTGTCTCTCTCTCTCTGTGTCTTCACGGGTGTCTGTCTCTCGGTGTGTCTGTCTCTCTCTGTGTCTGTCTCTCTCTGTCTTCACGGGTGTCTGTCTCTCTGTGTATCTCTCTCTGTCTTCACGGGTGTCTCTCTCGTGTCTGTATGTGTGTCTCTCTCGTGTGTGTCTGTCTCTCTCTGTGTCTTCACGGATGTCTCTCTGTCTCTCTCGTGTCTGTGTGTGTCTCTCTCTCTGTGTCTTCACGGGTGTCTCTCTCGTGTGTGTGTCTCTCGTGTCTGTGTCTGTCTCTCTCTGTGTCTTCACGGGTGTCTCTCTCTGTCTGTCTCTCTCTGTGTCTGTCTCTCTCTCTGTGTCTTCACGGTTGTCTCTCTCGGTGTGTGTGTGTCTCTCTCTGTGTCTGTCTCTCTCTCTGTGTCTTCACGGGTGTCTCTCTCGTGTCTGTGTCTGTCTCTCTCTCTGTGTCTGTCTCTCTCTCTGTGTCTTTACGGGTGTCTCTCTCGTGTGTGTCTGTCTCTCTCTGTGTCTGTGTGTGTCTCTCTGTGTCTTCACGAGTGGTAGTGGGAAGCGGTGGTGTAGCGGTTAGCGCTACGCTGCGCTACGAACCCGGCGAACCGGAGTTCGATTCCCGCTCACGGCCAACACCGGTGGCGATTATCTGAACCGGTCCTGGGCCTCCCCTAGGTCGACTCGGCCTCAAATGAGTACCTGGTGCGGTGTAAAAACATCGCCACTGGGGAGACAAAGACGCCCGGGCGTGGTGCTGGCTACCCCACCCCCTCGTGTGCCGTCCCGGCCTTCATAAGTGCTGCTCGCTAACAGCACTTGCCCCAGCAGTCTGTCAAGGCTGCACGGGGGACCTTTGTCTTCGCGAGTGGACGCGCCTGTGCCCGTGGCAGCCTCTGGGTTGCCCGCATGCAGTCGGCCCGCGTGCCCAGCCAGTGTTGTGTTACTACCGGACAGAGAGGAGGCTAAAGCGGGCAACGGCTGTACAGGGCTCGACAAGATGTGGAGCTGATGCGGTACAGAGGGGATGTGGAGGCTGAGGTTGGACTCGCCAATGACCGGTACCAGCGGTATCAAGATCGGCCCCCGTGGCTCGTGAAGGACGCTGCCGCTGCTGGGCAGGCTGGAGGCAGTCGCCCTACAGCTACAGCGGAGGGCGGAGGAGCGACGCTCACAACAACGAGCGGAGCGCCGGGCGGTTAAAGTGCAGCGAGTTGGCACAGTGGGGGGCACGGCTGGTGTGCATCTACCGGTCATCTCGGTCAGCCAACCCACGGCACCTGCTGGGTCTGTCCCGAGATCTCCTGTCAGCAGCGAGCCTTCGACACTTCACGTGGCCTCAAAGTGCACCTAGCCTGGCACAGGCTCCGTGGTCACGTCACAACCACTTAATGGCGAATGGCGCGGTTGTTATTGTTGGTATTGGTCGACTTGGCGACTGCCTCCAACTGACCCGGTAGCAATCGGAGGCAGTCGCCCTCCAGCAACAGCGGAGGGCAGAGGAGCGACGCTCACGAGTGACCGCGCTGAAAAAAGAGTTGGCAGAGTTGGGGGGAGTGGGCCACAGCTGATGCCCTCTGCCAGTCATCTCGGTCAGCCAACCCACGCCACCTGCTGGGTCTGTCCCGTGACCTCCTGCCAGCAGCGAGCCTTTGGCGCGTCACGTGGCCTCGAGGTGAACCTAGCCTGGCACGAGTGCTGTGGTGGCAAACGGCGGTCTGTTGTCTCTGGGTGTCTCCGCGAGTCGTCTCAGTGAGTACCTCTGTGGGTGTCGAGGTCGAATTCGAGTTTCTCTGGGTGTCTGAGAGGGAGGCGATCTCGCTTCACCGTGGACTCAACCCTTTTTGTTTTACATTTTGCTAAGGAAAGGTCAAACGGTGTGGTGACTGGATAGGTGAGTGGGAATGTGAGTGGGTGTGTGAGTGGATGTGTGAGTGAGTGGTTGAGTGAGTGGGTGAGTGGTTGAGTGAGTTGGTGAGTGAGTGGGTGAGTGAGTGGGTGAGTGAGTGGGTGGGTATGTGAGTGGGTGTGTGAGTGGATGTGTGAGTGAGTGGATGTGTGAGTGAGTTGGTGAGTGAGTTGGTGAGTGTGTGAGTGTGTTAGTGAGTGGCTGAGTGAGTGGGTGAGTGAGTTGGTGAGTGTGTGAGTGAGTGGGTATGTGAGTGGATGTGTGAGTGGATGTGTGAGTGGATGTGTGAGTGGATGTGTGAGTGAGTGGGTGAGTGAGTTGGTGAGTGTGTGAGTGTGTGAGTGAGTGGGTGAGTGAGTGGGTGAGTGAGTTGTGAGTGTGTGAGTGAGTGGGAATGTGAGTGGGTGTGTGAGTGGATGTGTGAGTGAGTGGGTGAGTGAGTTGGTGAGTGTGTGAGTGGGTGAGTGAGTGGGTGAGTGAGTTGGTGAGTGTGTGAGTGAGTGGGTGAGTGAGTTGTGAGTGTGTGAGTGAGTGGGTGAGTGAGTGTGTGAGTGGGTGAGTGAGTGTGTGAGTGGGTGAGTGAGTGTGTGAGTTGGTGAGTAAGTGGGTGAGTGAGTGGGTGGGTAAGTGAGTGTGTGAGTGAGTGGGTGAGTGAGTGTGTGAGTGGGTGAGTGAGTGGGTGGGTGAGTGTGTGTGTGTGAGTGGGTGAGTGAGTGAGTGTGTGAGTTGGTAAGTGGGTGAGTGAGTGGGTGGGTGAGTGAGTGTGTGAGTGGGTGAGTGAGTGGGTGAGTGTGTGAGTGAGTGGGTGGGTGAGTGAGTGGGTAATGGAATGGGTGAGTATGTAAATTGTTGAGTGAGTGAGTGGATGCGTTGTATTGGTGGAGGAATCAATGTTTGTAGTTCACGCGGGGACAGTTACCAAGGCAGTAGCGATATGAGAGTGCCAAGGAGGCGACTGCCCCGCCGGTGACTCACACACATCACACATAACACACACACCATACACACACACATCACACACACACCATACACACACATCACACACACACCCACATCACACATCATACACACCATACACACACATCACACACACATCACACACACATCACACACATCACACACATCACACACACATCACACACATCACACACACATCACACACATCACACACCATACACACACACATCACACACATCACGCATCACACACACCCACATCACACACATAACACACACATCACACACATCACACACACATCACACACATCACACATCACACACACCATACACACACACACATCACACACACCATACACACACACATCACACACACCATACACACACACATCACACACACCATACACACACACACCATACACACCCACATCACACACATCACACACACCATACACACACACATCACACACACCATACACACACATCACACACATCACACACACCATACACACACACATCACACACATCACACACACCATACACACACACATCACACACATCACACACACCATAAACACACATCACACACACCCACATCACACACACCATACACACATCACACCCACCCACATCACACACACCCACATCATACACACACACACCATACACACACATCACACACACTCACATCACACACACCCACATCACACACACCGTACACACACATCACACACACACATCACACACACCGTACACACACGCATCACACCACACACCCACATCACACACACACCATACATACACACACCATACATACACACCACACACAAAAACCACACACACCACACACACACCATACACACACGCATCACACACATCACACCACACACCCACATCACACACCATACATACACACACCACACACACACACCACACACACACAAACCACACACACACACCACACACACCACACACACACCACACACACACACATCACACGCATCACACACACCCACATCACACACACCCACATCACACACCACACACACACCACACACACACCACACACACACCACACACACACCACACACACCACACACACACACCACACACACACCACACACACCACACACACCACACACACACCACACACACCACACACACACACCACACACACCACACACACACACATCACCCAGTGTCACCCACGTGCCCTCCGCGGCCCACGGCGCGCGTCACCACCACCGCCTCCTCCTTCCGTAGCATCCGCGTTCACTCCCTGCTGCGGTGGGCGGCGTGGGGAATTCCCGCGGTCTCCGTCTTTGTCTCTCCCTCCCTGCACCTCCCCCCCAGCGTGGGCAGGGGGCGATGCTGCCGACTCGTTGTTGGTCGCTGCTGGGTGGTGGTGCCAGCAGCAGCACCAGCAGCTGCCGCTCCGCATTCTTGCAGGCGACCGGGCAGTCCCGAGCCATGGCCAGACCCAGCTCAGGTGAGAGCGAGCGAGCGAGCCTTTAACGGGGATCTTTATTTGAATCTTTTTGTTCACACGTTACCAGCGCGGGCAGGTCAGAACGCAACAGCAACGAACAGTACAGAAAGCACGGTAGGAGTGCGGAGTCTAGGAAATGGCAAGGTAATTGTACCTTTAAAACAACTCAACTAAACTATTTTTGTATCTTGCAAGGTAAGGCCCACGGAACAATTCGTTTTTTTTTTCAGAAGCGACCCCGGTCATCGCAAATGATAGCTCAACGAAGTGGGCTCATCATCATCACCATCATCAAAGGTGGAAATTTATAGCAGGGCAATTACTCTAAATAATCTGGAGGCACGCTGATTCGAAATATGGAGGGGAAAAACCGGAGGATCCGGAGTAAAACTATCCACCGCTACAGTGGATAAGAGATGTTAACTACCTCGCCTGGTATACAGGAGGTTGTGGGTTCGATCCCGACCCTGATGATGCCTGCTGCTGTATATTTAGAGTTTGCGTGTCTCCCTCATCATCATCATCACGGTGGCTAGGAGATGTCAACTACCTCGCCTGGTGTACAGGAGGTCGTGGGTTCGATCCAGACCCTGACGCCTGCTACTGCTGCTGTATATTTGCAGTTTGCGGTGTCTCTCCCTCTCCTCGTGGTCGCCGTAGATTTAGTAATCAACGACCACCACGCGTTCAAGAGTACGGTATTTGGCTGCTGTGAATTGCCACGTGGTGATGATGATGTTGACGACCATAAGCCGCCCACTCCGTTGAGCTGTCCTTTTGTGGCCAACGTTGCTTTGTGAAAAAAAATAGCTACGCAGCTCAGCCTTGAGATTTAAATTGTTTTCGTTTAATAAACTCGCCGGAAATAACAACCAGCATCATTAGGCGAAACGTCGCGGTCCTGGAATTGGCAAATGTTGTAGTGGGTTTACTCTCCAACACATCGGTGTGCTGTACAACTATACTAAACTATACACTACACTGTAAACTACACTGTAAACTACACGGCTATACACTGCACTATACACTACACTATACACCGCACTATACACCGCACTATACACTGCACTATACACTGCACTATACACTACACTATACACTGCACTATACACTGCACTATACACTACACTATACACTGCACTATACACTGCACTATACACTACACTATACACTACACTATACACTGCACTACTCTTTGGTAAAGTCACGTAAGATAGAAAAATAATTAAAAAAATCACTACGTTTCGATCGCAACACAAGCAATCATCACGCAAACGGAGTTCAGTGTCCCCCCCCACCTCGTTCCCCCCTCCCCCTCACCTCGTTCCCCCCCTCCCGCCACCTCGTTCCCCCCTCCCCCCACCTCGTTCCCCCCTCCCCCCACCTCGTTCTCTTCCTCCCCCCCACCTCGTTCCCCCCTCCCCCCACCTCGTTCCCCCCCTCCCCCCCCACCTCGTTCCCCCCTCCCCCCACCTCGTTCTCTTCCTCCCCCCCACCTCGTTCCCCCCTCCCCCCACCTCATCCCACCTTCCCCCCACCTCGTTCCCCCCTCCCCCCCCACCTCGTTCCCCCCCTCCCCCCCACGTTCCCCCCCACCTCGTTCCCCTCTCCCCCCCACCTCGTTCCCCCCCTCCCCCAAACCTCGTTCCCCCCCCTCCCCCAAACCTCGTTCCCCCCCTGCCCCAAACCTCGTTCCCCCCCTCCCCCCCCACCTCGTTCCCCCCCTCCCCCACACCTCGTTTCCCCCCCTCCCCCACACCTCGTTCCCCCCCTCCCCCCCACCTCGTTTCCCCCCCTCCCCCACACCTCGTTCCCCCCCTCCCCCCACCTCGTTCCCCCCCCTCCCCCACACCTCGTTCCCCCCTTCCCCCAAACCTCGTTTCCCCCCCTCCCCTCCACCTCGTTCCCCCCACCTCGTCCCCCCCCCCACCTCGTTCCTCCCCCCCACCTCGTTCCCCCCCCTCCCCCCCGCCTCGTTCCCGCCCCACCCCTCCCCCCACAGACATGAGTAGATTCCGGGAGGTGCTGAGCCGCGCTCGTCACGTGGTGGTGCTCACGGGTGCCGGCGTGAGTGCCGAGAGCGGTGTGCCCACCTTCCGCGGCACCGGCGGATACTGGCGCACCTGGCAGTCGCAGGTAACTCGCCTCAAGGCCGTAGCCATGGAGTCAAGATTGGGGGGGGGGGACCAAATCTGCTAAGGGGTCTGGGGGTCCCCCCCCCCCTCCCCAGAAAAAAAATCTAAATTTGAAAACTAATTTCCTGCCTAAAATATTAAAAAATTCGCTAACACATAGGATGGACTTTTTATTAATTTTTCACAATAATGTCTAATAGTGTATTGTATTACATTGCTCTGTTTTCTCTTTTTTGCCATTCCTTGTTTCATTGTATGTAATGGTAGAGATTAGGGATTAATAAAGTACAACCATAACCACAATGATATGAACATAAATCTATTTTATAGCAATATATTGGGGGGGACATTTTGAGCATATTTGAATATTGGGGGGGGGGGGATGTCCCCCCCCCCCCCCCAATATTTATTGTAATTACGGCCTTGACTCACCTGTCTGGTACGGGATATTTACTTGTGGTCCAGTTCCCACCAGCGGACTAGCAATGATTCACAAGGCGCAGTTTGGCCCCATGTCTTCCACGGAAACACCAGCGGGGAGCGGTAGTCCAGCGGTTAGCGCTACGCTGCACCACGAACCTGGCGACTCGGGTTCGATTCCCGCTCATGGCACAACATCACTGACGATTATTTGAACCGGTCTTGGGCCTCCCCTAGGTCGACTCAGCCTCAAATGAGTACCTGGTGCGGTGTGTAAACATCACCACTGGGGAGACAAAGGCGGTCGGGCGTGGTGCTGGCCACCCACCCCCTCGTGTACCGTTGCAGCCTTCACAGGTGCTACTCGCTAACAGCACTTGCCCCTACAGTCTGTTAAGGCTACACGGGGGATCTTTGTCTGTGTTTCTGTGTGCTTCTGTGTGTGTGCTTCTGTGTGTGTGTTTCTGTGTTTCTGTGTGTGTGTTTCTGTGTGTGTGTTTCTGTGTGTGTGTTTCTGTGTGCTTCTGTGTGTGTGTTTCTGTGTGTGTGTTTCTGTGTGTTTCTGTGTGTGTTTCTGTGTGTGTGTGTTTCTGTGTGTGTGTGCTTCTGTGTGTGTTTCTGTGTGTGTGTTTCTGTGTGTGTGTTTCTGTGTGTGTTTCTGTGTGTGTGTTTCTGTGTGTGTGTTTCTGTGTGTGTTTCTGTGTGTGTGTTTCTGTGTGTGTGTTTCTGTGTGTGTGTTTCTGTGTGTGTTTCTGTGTGTTTCTGTGTGTGTGTTTCTGTGTGTGTGTTTCTGTGTGTGTGTTTCTGTGTGTGTGTTTCTGTGTGTGTGTTTCTGCGTGTGTGTTTCTGCGTGTGTGTTTCTGCGTGTGTTTCTGCGTGTGTTTCTGTGTGTGTGTTTCTGTGTGTGTGTTTCTGCGTGTGTGTTTCTGCGTGTGTGTTTCTGTGTGTGTGATTCTGCGTGTGTGTTTCTGCGTGTGTGTTTCTGTGTGTTTCTGTGTGTGTGTTTCTGTGTGTGTGTTTCTGTGTGTGTGTTTCTGTGTGTGTTTCTGCGTGTGTGTTTCTGTGTGTGTTTCTGTGTGTGTGTTTCTGTGTGCTTCTGTGTGTGTTTCTGTGTGCTTCTGTGTGTGTGTTTCTGTGTGTGTGATTCTGTGTGTGTGTTTCTGTGTGTGTGTTTCTGTGTGTGTGTTTCTGTGTGTTTCTGTGTGTGTGTTTCTGTGTGTGTGTTTCTGTGTGTGTTTCTGCGTGTGTGTGATTCTGCGTGTGTGTTTCTGTGTGTGTGTGTGTTTCTGTGTGTGTGTTTCTGTGTGTTTCTGTGTGTGTGTTTCTGTGTGCTTCTGTGTGTGTTTCTGTGTGCTTCTGTGTGTGTGTTTCTGTGTGTGTGATTCTGTGTGTGTGTTTCTGTGTGTGTGTTTCTGTGTGTTTCTGTGTGTGTGTTTCTGTGTGTGTGTTTCTGTGTGTGTGTTTCTGTGTGTGTGTTTCTGTGTGTGTGTTTCTACGTGTGTGTTTCTGTGTGCTTCTGTGTGTGTTTCTGTGTGCTTCTGTGTGTGTGTTTCTGTGTGTGTGATTCTGTGTGTGTGTTTCTGTGTGTGTGTTTCTGTGTGTTTCTGTGTGTGTGTTTCTGTGTGTGTGTTTCTGTGTGTGTGTTTCTGCGTGTGTGTTTCTGCGTGTGTGTTTCTGCGTGTGTGATTCTGCGTGTGTGTTTCTGCGTGTGTGTTTCTGTGTGTGTGTTTCTGTGTGTGTGTTTCTGTGTGTGTGTTTCTGTGTGTGTTTCTGCGTGTGTGTGATTCTGCGTGTGTGTTTCTGTGTGTGTGTTTCTGTGTGTGTGTTTCTGTGTGCTTCTGTGTGTGTGTTTCTGTGTGTGTGTTTCTGTGTGTGTGATTCTGTGTGTGTGTTTCTGTGTGTGTGATTCTGTGTGATTCTGTGTGTGTGCTTCTGTGTGTGTGTGATTCTGCGTGTGTGAATCTGCGTGTGTGAATCTGCGTGTGTGTTTCTGTGTGTGTGTGTTTCTGCGTGTGTGTTTCTGCGTGTGTGTTTCTGCGTGTGCGTGCGCGCGTGTGCCGCAGGACCTGGCGACGGCCGCCGCGTTCCAGGCGTCGCCGTCGCGCGTCTGGGAGTTCTACCACTACCGGCGCGAGGCCGTGCTGCGCGCCGAGCCCAACGCGGCGCACACGGCGCTCGCGCGGTGCCAGCGCCGCTTCGCCGGGCAGGGCCGCAAGCTCACCCTCGTCACGCAGAACGTGGACGAGCTGCACCGCCGCGCCGGCTCCGAGCACGTGCACGAGCTGCACGGTGAGAGGCGGCGGGGGGCCGGGGGCCGGGGGGGGCTGGGCTGGCGGCACCGTGGATCGCCGTGCGAAACACCGGACCGCCGGAGTCGTCTCGCGATTTTGTAGCCGTGGTAACACCGGAGCTACGCCGGGGCCACGGTAAATACCGGAGCCACGGTAAGTACCGGAGCCACGTGTAGTGATGAGAGACTGTGAGGTGAGTGCGGTGAGGGAAGAGTTTGAGGTGAGTGTGGCGAAGCAGAGAGTCTTGAGGTGGGTTTGGTGAGGAGAGACGGTGAGGTGCGTGTGGCGAGGAGGGGGAGGGTAACACCCCGATTATCTGAACCGGTCCCGGGCCTCCCCTAGTTGGTCTCCACCTCCCAAGTGGTGATGTTTTACAAGCTGCACTCGGTTGCGACGTGCAGTAAACATCGCCACTGGGGAGACAAAGGCGGCCGGGCGCGGCGCCGGCCACCCAGCCCGTCGTGTGCCGTTCCGGCCTTCATAGGTGCTGCTCGCTAACAGCACTTGTCCCAACGGTCTGCCAAGGCTACACGGGGGATCTTTGTCTTTGTGTGTGTGTGTGCCTGGGCACAGGGAGCCTGTTTAAGACGCGCTGCACAAGCTGTGGACACGTGGAGAGCAACTACAACAGCCCCATCACCCCGGCCCTGCAGGGCAAGGGGTGAGCAGCACGTGTTGACTGTCGCCCGCGGAGGCGGGCGGGCAGACACGCGGGCAGTCGGTCACAGACGGTTAGTCACGGGCAGTCGCTCTCATGCATTCAAAGTCGTCAAGTCGTCAAGTCGCAGTCATGGGCAGGCACTCGGTCGGCGCTTGGCTTAAAGGCAGTCGCGGTCGGCCACTTGCGGTCGTCACGGTCACAGTTGTTGTGGCGCAATCCACGACTCCGAAGCAGTTTGCGGTTCGGGGCTCACGTCAAGTTTGTTAGGGGCTTACGCCGAACCAAAACCCCCCTGGCCGATAACTCCCCAGGGGACAGGGGACCGTGATCCCGACAACCCCGGCTAACTCGGCTCTCCTCCCTGCCCCCCCGGGCCGGGACTACCCTAGCCTCGGGTGAGGATCAACTACCCTGAGTCCTGACTCCTACCCCCGACGAACCCCGGTTACATCCCCGGGTCCCCCTTTAAATACCCCCCCCCCCTGGGGGCATGACGTCACCATGACGTCACCAACGACGTCACCGTCCCCCAGGGTCCGCCTGACGTCACGTTCTGCGACGCCACTCTCTCCGAGGGCGAGCGTGACGTGACGTCACCCACTACTCCCCTACACTGGCACCCATGAGCAGTCACTGTCGGTTAGGTCAGAGGCAATCGCAGTCACTGCCAGTCACAGGCCGTCACAGGCAGAGGCAGTCATTACGGGGTCACGGTTCAGTGAATGTTAGCGGCCGCCGGCGGCAGCGGAGATTCTTGTTCCGTCTGTCCCCACCTCGGGGCGGTCCACTGCTCACTGCGAGCGCTCGCAATGGAATTGGCTCCGTCTCGGCACGCGTAGAACGTAATTCGGGGGTTTAAAAATTAGAAAGATATCTTTATAGAACCACCGGGTAAAAACCTTAAAATCGAGAAGAGAAAGACTCCCTGTGGTGGTGACGCCCCAATCCCGTCGATTCCAGAATGCCCGCCTCATACGTTGCGTCTGTACGTTGCGTCTGTGCGCGTTTGCTGTGTGTGTGTGTGTCTGTGTGCGCACCTGGCCTGGCACAAGCGCTGCGGTGACGAATTGCTGCTGCTGCTGTTGTTGTTGTTGGGTTGTGTCACTTCACACCCTGTGTTCTTCCGTGTCAAGAAGGGATCATCCAGGTGGAATGTTTTTTTTAAATTAACAAAATGACGCCTCCCCCACCCTCCCCATCCCTTGGTGTGTCTCTATGTGACCCCCCCACCCCCCACTCCACTTCGTGACCCCGTGTGACCCCCCCCTACCCTCCCCCCTCCCCTTTTGGTGTCCCGATGTGACCTCCCCTCGTCGCTTTGTGACCCCGTGTGACCCCAGTGCCCCAGACCCGAACACTCCGGACGCTGCCATCCCTGAGGAGTTGCTGCCCAGGTGAGCTGGTGCTGCTGATGCCTGCCTGTACCCTCAGGGAGAAGGGGCATTCCAGCCACCTCCTCTCTCGCTTTCCTCTCACTCCACTCCCCTAATTTGATTCGCTATAATATCTCGCCACGGTGGCTAGGAGATGTTAACTACCTCGCCTGGTATACAAGAGGTCGTGGGTTCGATCCCGACCCGGACGCCTGTCGTATATTTAGAGTTTGCCTGTCTCTCTCTCCCCGTGGTCGCGTGGATTTTTCTCTGGGTCCTCCGGTTTTTCCCTCCACATTTATATTCAACGTCACGCGTTTAGAGCCTTCGGCTGCCATAAATGTCCACGTGATAATCCGCCACTTCGATGAGCGATAATTTGCGACCGCAAGGTCGCTTCTAATAAGCAGCTATACAGCTCAGTGGGCCCGACCGTAGAATAAAATAAAAAATACTTTATTTTCTTGGAAAAAGTGGCGGTTATTTTTAACGTTAGCACCACGGAGAGCGATTTGACAGTTTGTTCAGATGGACGAGTCCATCTATGTTCGGAAAAGAGGAGGGGGGAGACGGAAAATAATGGATGTGGTCTGAAAGCCACCTTAAGCGTGATCAATCAATTAAGACCCGAAATGGTTTATCAAATCCTTCCAATGATTTCTAAGCCAGAATCCATCTTCTCGGTTGAAATTGTCTCTGTGGTTTTCACACCTGATGATGATTGCTTGTGTTGCAGTCGAAACGTCGTGAGAATTTTATTGTTTTATTTTTTTATTATTCTTTTATTGTTTCCCTTCTACGTGACTTTACCGAAAGAACCAAGAATATGAATCCCTGCAGTCACGAAAGCTTTAAATCAAAACATACTTTAGTTTGGTTTGTGAAGGAAAGAAAAAAAATCAGACTTCAACTTCTGTTCAGTGATGACTGTGCGTGCGTGTGTGCGTGCGTGTGTGCGTGCGTGTGTGCGCGTGTGCGTGCGTGCGTGCGTGTGTGTGTGTGTGTGCGTGTGTGTGTGCGTGTGCGTGCGTGTGCGTGTGTGTGACTTGGCCTGGGGAAAAAAAAAAAAAAACAGGAAAAGGCTTCGTCCTCTTTCCGGCACAAATACGGGAAGTGTTAAGATGTCCAGACACCAAATAGACACCCACCCCCCCCACACACACGCTTGTTGGTAAAACATGCAAAACAAATAACACACGGCGGTGTCTGAACACCTTGGATGCTGGCAAAATGAAGGGCCCCCGTCGATACCGCTGCGTGCCACAGCAGTATCGCCGGGAGCCACTCGAGACGCCCTCCGGACGCCCGTCACACACAGAGCCGTCGCCTGGGTGGTGGACGGCGAATCGGGGGGGGGGGGGGGGGGGCCCGGGCTTCGACGTCACGGTGTCAGGTGGGGTTTGCCCCCCCCACCCCCGGACCCCCGCCACTCACTACGGACGCCTCTGGAGCTGCTTGTCTCCGTCCGTTGAACCGCCCGCTCGTGCCCGGCGGTAGAGAGGGCGGCTCGCGGCCCGGAAGGTTCGCGAGTTCAAGTCACGGGTTGCTGCGGGTTGACTCAAACCCCCATCATCCCTTTGGGGGGGTCGATACACTCGGTACCATTTTGTGTGGGGGGTGTGGTGGGGGGGGGGGAGCCAACAGTGGTTGTTGTTTCTATCGATATGTATGTACGCGTGTATGTTGAACGTCTTTCGCGCCGTACGTAGCCAAGGACAACAAACTAACGCGCAAAAAGGCGGTTCTAAAGAAATGAGTTTTCAGTCGAGATTATTTAAGAGTGCATTGCTCTCAGTGGCTTCATAGTCTCGGATGGAAGAGCGTTCCAGACGGCCGCAGAAGCGCACCTGAAAGCGCCGCGCGATGCGGGCGACCGTCTCTGTTCGACTTCGAGCAGCCAAAAGCCACCGCTGCTGCTGCTGCTGCTGCTGCGAGGATAACCGGAGCTGGCGTGCCGATGGTTCATGCTCTTTGGCGAGATCGGCGAGGGCACCGCGGCTCATTTGCAGGCGAGCGGACGTCGCGCGTCTAACGAGCGCGACGTCCGTTCGCCAACCGGACGCCACGGGAACGTGGAATGTCCACCGCTGGCTGGCTCAGGGTTGCGAGCGGGAGGTGAGCACCGCCCTCGATTGCCCCGCGTGTGCCCAGGTGCGTGCAGGGCGGCTGTGGGGGGCTGCTGCGCCCGCACGTGGTGTGGTTTGGCGAGAGCCTGGACTCGGGCGTGATGGACCGGGTCTACGCCGAACTCGACTCCTGTGATCTCTGCATCGTGGTACAGTTCTTGAACGAAAACAGAAAAATGTTTTGATAATAATAATCACGACGACGATCGTCGTCATCGTTGCACGGCACGTACGTGCGCGCACATCATCGCAACATGTACGTCATCGGAACGGAACCAGAAGAATAACTGATATAGAATACCGGGGCTCCCACAAGGCCATGCGGGAGGTCGTGTGGCAGTTTTGGCGTCGGCTATTGTAGAGTGCGGCGGTCGTGTCGCTACAGTTCTCTGCGGTGAGTTAATTTTTTTTGCGGAGGAAATCGCTCGTGACTGTTGACCCCCTGTCTCCCCTGACCCCTGACCCTTGTCCCCAGGCGGGCACCTCGTCCGTCGTCTACCCGGCCGCTATGTTTGCGCCGCAGGTCGCTGGGCGCGGGGTCCCCGTGGCGGAGTTCAACATCGAGACGACGCCCGTGACCCAGGGCTTCGGGTGAGGAGCGTGGGTGTGGCGCGGGACGTATTGAAAGATGGGGAACATTGGGAACATGTGCAAGATACGGGGACACGGGGACGCGGGAGGCATGGGGACGATACGGGGACACGGCAGACGCGGGGACACCGGGGGCATGGGGACGAAGCGAAAGATGGGGACGCAGAAGACGTGGAATATACACGCTTGGAGGGACGCGTGAGACGCGGGAGACATGGGACACAGGAGACAAAGGGGCACATAGGGGACACGGGAGAGACAGGAGACGAGGGCACTGGAGACACGGGACACACAGACACGAGAGACGCAAATACCACAATAGGGGCCTTCTCCTGGGTCAACGCAACTCTATACGAGTGCTGTGTGCATCTGTCTGCCTCCCCACCGCCGCCACTCCACCCTGCCAGGTTCCACTTCGAGGGGCCGTGTGGGCAGACGCTGCCCACTGCCCTGGCTCCGCACAAGAACGAGCTTGAGGCAGAGGGGGGGGACGGTGGTGGTGGGCAGTGAGGGGCAGCGCCTCGCACTTTATTTTTTTACAGCGTCGACAACATCGACCGTGCCCATCGCCGGCTATGTCACCACCCGTCTGACCTCCCCTCGCCATCGCATCAGCCCCATCGCCACCGCTGGCACAATCACACGCACCCCGAGTGCCCCCCCCCCCTTCCCCCCCCCCCCCCCCCCGTGTCGTCAGACCATCATGCCCGGGTCTCGTCTGTTGTCTCGTGAAAAAAAATGTATCCGCGTGGTCAGAATTTCGTCAACTTCGCAGTTGCAAATTATAATCGCCAACAACATCTTGGAAACAATAGGTGTCATTTTCGAAGTTAATTATCCGCTGTGTTCCCACTGCGTCGCGCTGCGTGCATCTCCGGCGTGCTCTTCGGGCTGCGCCGCTCGCGCGTTGCTCGGGCGACGTCCGACGTTTCGAGCCGCGTAACGTCAAAATGGGACCTTTTTGCCAGTATCAAAGTATGACAAAAATAAGAAGTAGGTTTTTACCCTTTCTGGCAATAAAATAGAATGCGTTAAGATGTTCAAACACCAAATGCAGTGGTAACCTCGGAGATCGAACTTAATTCGTTCCAAAACCGTGTTCGAACACGGTTTTGTTCGAACACCGAATCAGTTTTCCCCATAAGAATGAATGGAAATGGCATTAATTGGTTCCCCACCCAAGGATGCTCCTATTATGGGCCATTTTTACACAAAGATTACAGTATTAAAATACAGTAGAGTACATAAAAGCATTAAAAAACAAGAAACACAGTTATAATTAATATAATGAACATTGAAACTTCACTTTACCTGTAGTAAGGAGAGTGGATGGCTTGAGTGGAAGATGGTGAGGACAAAGTTAACGTAACGATGTTTTTTGGCGGGTCTGCCATTGGGCGAGATCCACGCATGAACTGGGTCATTCGCCTTTGTCTCGGTCGCCATGGATACGCGTCTCGGTCACCATGGCTACGCGTCTCGGTCGTCCTGGCTACGCATCTCGGTCGCCATGGCTACGCGTCTCGGTCGCCATGGCTACGCGTCTCGGTCGCCATGGCTACGCGTCTCGGTCGCCCTGGCTACGCGTGTCGGTCGCCATGGCTACGCGTCTCGGTCGCCATGGCTACGCGTCTCGGTCGCCCTGGCTACGCGTCTCGGTCGCCCTGGCTACGCGTCTCGGTCGCCCTGGCTACGCGTCTCGGTCGCCATGGCTACGCGTCTCGGTCGCCATGGCTACGCGTCTCGGTCGCCATGGCTACGCGTCTCGGTCGCCATGGCTACGCGTCTCGGTCGCCCTGGCTACGCGTCTCGGTCGCCCTGGCTACGCGTCTCGGTCGCCATGGCTACGCGTCTCGGTCGCCATGGCTACGCGTCTCGGTCGCCCTGGCACTGCGTCTCGGTCGCCCTGGCTACGCGTCTCGGTCGCCCTGGCTACGCGTCTCGGTCGCCATGGCTACGCGTCTCGATCGCCATGGCTACGCGTCTCGGTCGCCATGGCTACGCGTCTCGGTCGCCCTGGCTACGCGTCTCGGTCGCCCTGGCTACGCGTCTCGGTCGCCCTGGCTACGCGTCTCGGTCGCCCTGGCTACGCGTCTCGGTCGCCATGGCTACGCGTCTCGGTCGCCCTGGCTACGCATCTCGGTCGCCCTGGCTACGCGTCTCGGTCGCCCTGGCTACGCGTCTCGGTCGCCCTGGCTACGCGTCTCGATCGCCCTGGCTACGCGTCTCGGTCGCCATGGCTACGCGTCTCGGTCGCCATGGCTACGCGTCTTGGTCGCCATGGCTACGCGTCTCGGTCGCCCTGGCTACGCGTCTCGGTCGCCCTGGCTACGCGTCTCGGTCGCCCTGGCTACGCGTCTCGGTCGCCATGGCTACGCGTCTCGGTCGCCATGGCTACGCGTCTCGGCCCACGCAGCTTCTTTCAAGTTGTTCGACCTCCGAATTTTTGTTCAATGTCCGGGGACCAAAAACAATGGTCTAAAATTGCGTTCGATCACCGAATTGTTCCGAGTCCTGGGGCGTAATAGATCTCCGAGGTTCTACTGTAGAAACCTTTTGCAAGGAATCGAGTTCGCGCTTTGCGTTTTTTCAAAGTTTAAAAGGCATCCCATGATGTAGCTGCACCCCGAGCCGAGCTATAAATGCGCTGGTCGTGCGTTGTCTTTGTGCCGTGCGCACTTTTGGCGTTCTTTGGTTCTCTCGCGCCGGTGAGACGAGGCCATCAAGAAGGCTGTCTCTGGTGTAGGCCAATCAGTTTCAAAGACAATGCAAGTATATTCTTGGTTCTTTCGGTAAAGTCACGTTGAAGGGAAACAATAAAATACATATTTTATTATTTTATTGTTTCCCTTCAACGTGACTTTACCGAAAGAACCAAGAATATGAATCCCTGCAGTCACGAAAGCTTTAAATCAAAAAATTTACAATGCAAGTATATTGTTATTATTATCAGAGCGTGTTTGTTTGTATGGTCACCACAACATACTCTTTGGTTCTTTCGGTAAAGTTACGTAGGTAAAAATTTAATACAATTAAATTAAATAAAACAAAAATGAAAACAACTAAATTAAATCACGACGTTTCGGAGGCAACACAACCTTCCTTCATCAGGTGTAAAAAAAAAGCACAGCAAAATTACTGTAGAGAGAGAGAGCTGATGAAGGAAGCTTGTGTTGACTCCGAAACGTCGTGATTTAATTGAGTTGTTTTCATTTTTGTTTTATTTCATTTTATTTTTTCACCTACCTGACTTTACCGAAAGAACCAAAGAGTTTGGATCCTTGCAGTCACGAAAACTTCAAATCTAGAATGTTCACCACAAGTACTGTGTGTGGTCAATAAAAAAAAACGTCAGTTTGTCTTAAGTTCACTTCTAAAACACAGCTTAAACATTGTACCCACGTTAGAAGCAATGTGGGCCTTGTCTCACTAACCTATCTGCGCACGGTGTAACTGCCATTTACCATAGACATTCGCGTATCTCAACCCGTTTAACATCCGCCGCGTAACTCAGCCACCCAGCGAGTCGTGGTACTAAGCTGAACTATCTTCTTTGGTTCTTTCGGTAAAGTCACGTAGAATGAGAATAAAATAATAAATTGATAAAATAAAATAACACAATAAAAATTCTCACGACGTTTCGGACACAATTTATTATTTTATTCTCATTCTACGTGACTTTACCGAAAGAACCAAAGAAGATGAATCCTTGCAGTCACGAAATCTTTAAATCGAAATTTAAGCTGAACTATACAAAGTGGTTTTATTTTACCAGGTGAGGCCCCACTGAGCTACGTAGCTCTTTTTTCCGAAGCGACCTGGCCGCAAGTGATGGCTCAGCGAAGTGGCTCATCGTCGTGTGGAAATCTACAGCAGCCAAATATTTTGAGCGCGTGACGTTGATTCTAAATGCGGAGGGAAAAACCGGAGGACCCGGAGAAAGAAAATCCATGCGACCACGGGGAGAGAGAGAGACGGGCGTCGGGGGTCAGGATCGAACCCACGACCTCCTGCGTACCGGGCGAGGGAGTTAACATCTCGCCACAATGGATATGCGACGTTGTGCTGTACTTGACAACCCCTGCAGTTTTAAGCTGCAGGCTTATGCTTTTTCTAACTCATTACCGCTGACCAATTAGAAAAACAAAAGCAACAGTTTCATCGAAGAAAAAAAAGACATTAAAATGTTGTGAGGAAGTATGACAATAGCTTAAACTCGGTAATGCGTCAAAAATGTGTTTTATATCGGCAGCTGAGTTTAAACTGATAGGGTTGGCAAAGTGCGCCACGGTTTGGGAGACGTTAACCACCTCACCTTGTATACAGGAGGTCGTGGGTTCGATCCCGACCCTGATGCTTGTGTAATGACGACTTAACACACTTCTCTTGAGATGGCACTTTATTGAAGACACGTTCACTTGACATCAGGCGGAGATCCCACTGCAACAGTCCCGAGTCTCCCGCGCATCTCCCTTACATATCAACACGAGGCCACACCCCCCTTATCGATCATTCTCGCTGACTTTGGACGCTCGCTCCACCGACAGACTCCACCGTCCTCTTTCGTCACCTGACCACGCTCCCTTCTGTCATTACCTCCCGTGGCCACGAGTGCATTCGTACTGCAGGCTGACTTCCCTGTCATTACTTCCCGTGGCCACTAGTCCATTTTTACTGCAGGCTGACTCCCCTGTCATTACCTTCCGTGGCTACTAGTCCATTTGTACTGCAGGCTGACTCCCTTTGTCATTACCTCCCGTGGCCACTAGTCCATTCGCACTGCAGGCTGACTCCCCTGTCATTCTCCCGTGGCCACGAGTGCATACGTACAGCAGGCTGACTCCCCTGTCATTACCTCCCGTGACCACTAGTCCATTTGTACTGCATGCAGGCTCTATTGTCATTACGCTTGTACGTGGTCGCGTGGATTTGTCCTTCCACATTTAGAATCGACACGCATTGAGAGTATTTGGCTGCGAGAAATGTCCACGTGGTAAGCCGCTTCGTTGAGCTGTCATTTGTGATAGCCAGGTTGCTTCTGAAAAAAGAGACATTTCAGTAGGCCTTGCCAGGTAAAATCAAATGTTTTTTCTTCTTGGTTCTTTTGGTAAAGTCACGTAGAATGCGAATAAAACAATAAAACAAAATAAGACAATAAAATTCTCACGACGTGAGAATTAAATAAGTTGGTAAGTCTGGAAAGACCCAAGGCCTGTGTCCACAGAACGACTTGTGTAATCGTAGATATGGAGCAGGCCCGCTTGAAGGTGAGATTTGTCTGAACACTAATTCAATTTCGGGAGTTAAGAATGATTAAGTATCGTCAAGTTAAGAGGGATCTCTCGGGGGTGGTTCGGACCACTCGGAAGTCAATGTCAAATTGCCACCGGTAATAATGTAACGATGACATGAAAAAAAATGTGCGTCAAAGTGATTTGTAACCTCCTGAAGCGCGCGACGAGATGCCAAATCTAGATGAATTATATTATTGCTTGCCAATTATGTAGAAGTTAATTAGAAATCCGACGGGCTACGTACGTGTTGAGTTTGTGTTCTCTCCTTGGAGGAAAGCTCCCACTTATCACTTGCAAAAATACTCGGAGCATCCCAAGGAAGCGGCAATTTAATTGTTTTAAGTCCTTGATCACTTCCCGGCGTATATATAAATATCATTATAAATCAGTAAGCTTTCGTGACCAATATCATCCATAATACAGGTTTTTTTGGGGGGTTAGATCGCGCCAATATATCGGTGACTTCTCCACAAATCTGGCTATCGCATGATGAAGCTAGTTGTCATTACTGGCGAAACGTCGTACTCAAGATTGTAAACGTTGTGGCATGGCTCTCCGATACACCGGTTAGTGCTGTACCGGTGACGAATTGGCCACGTTCTGTTTACGTGACAACCCTTACTAGTTGGCTGTGTCGGGTGGTGGCAGGGTTTAACGACACATATTTACGCGATTTAACCCCCCCAAAAAAAACCTCTTATGGATCATTATAAATCGTTGTGGTCAAGAATCATCATTGAACCCGAGGGAGAGCACGGGAACACTTCAGCCGCCGGGTTTAACATGAATTACGTGTAAAATTTGAATGCAATAATTGCAATAAAACAATTAATATCGTAATAACAAGAGTGAGTGTTATAGATATTAGCATTGCACCTTTGTCTTTGTAGAATGGTACATCATTGGATTTAGTGAGTCCCGTTTTCACAAGGCAAGGCCAAAATACAAAATATATTTTGAAGTGTTAAAATGTTTCCAAAAATGGATTTGCCACGCTGAGATAACACGAATATAATACCAAAAGGTAAAAACTCAGATTCTGTATTCCTACCGCAGGAGGAATCCGATGAGCTATAAAGCTCTTTTTTCGACAGGTGTCCAGTAAGGGGCGGGGGAGGGGGGGGGCACGGGTGGGTCAGAAGGTCACGACAACACAGACACACACGGTCAAAGTAACGCGCAGGTGATTTTCTGAAAATTACATTGAGACAACAAAGGCATCACCATCCAGCAGCGGAGTGGCTGATGATGATGATCGTGGCTGTTGCTGATGATCGTGGCTGCTGCTGATGATGATCGTGGCTGGTGCTGATCGTGGCTGTTGCTGATGATGATCGTGGCTGTTGTTGATGATCGTGGCTGATGATGATCGTGGCTGATGATGATCGTGGCTGTTGTTGATGCTCGTGGCTGATGATGATCGCGGCTGCTGCTGATGATGATCTTGGCTGCTACTGCTGATCGTGGCTGCTGCTGATGATTTCTTGTGCAGTGGCGGTGCTCCTCCGTCAGGCCGCATCTGTGCTTGTGGGAGGGGGTGATAGTGGGGGGGGGGGGTCTGTGGGGGGGGGGGGTCTGTAGGGGGGGGAGTCTGTGGGAGGGGTGTGGTGGGGGGGTCGTGGGAGGAGTCTGTGGGGGGGGTGTGGGGGGGAGGAGTCTGTGTGGGGTGTGGGGGGGTGTGTGGGGGGGACCGTTGCCATTATCGGCTCGCGCGTTGCTATCCCGTCTCGGCCACCGTCGCCACCAGCACCACCATCAGCACCACCACCACCACTACTGCTGCCACTACTGCCACACCAACAGTTGTCGTTAACTCGCTCCACTTGCCCACCCCGATCGATCGCCGCGTGTTAACAGCAGCAGCAACAACAACAACAAACTACCACCGTCTTAATAATAATCATCATTTAGATTCAAATCGCTGTCGGGAAGGCGGGGAGGGATGGGCTTGGTGGAGGCCGCGCGGTGAGCAGTTGTGACGAGTTCCCACCCAGCGGAGGTGAGGAGGAGGTGGTGGTGGGTGAGGAGGTGGTGGTGGGTGAGGAGGTGGTGGTGGGTGAGGAGGTGGTGGTGGGTGAGGAGGTGGTGGTGGGTGAGGAGGTGGTGGTGGGTGAGGAGGTGGTGGTGGGTGAGGAGGTGGTGGTGGGTGAGGAGGTGGTGGTGGGTGCAGTCAGTCGACCCGTGGCACCTGGGTCTGCCCCGTGACCTCCTGCCAGCGGGCGTTCGACACTTCACGTGGCCTCAGGGTGCACATAGCCTGGCACAAGCATCGTGGTGACGTCACCGCCACTTAGTGGCGAATGGCGGTTGTTGTTGTTGTTGTTGGTGGTGGGTGAGGAGGTGGTGGTGGTGATGTGAGGGAGGTGAGCAGATGAGGAGGAGGACGTGGTGGTGATGATGATGATGAAGTTTTATGGAAGCGATGCGAAGGAAGGGATTTGATGGTTGCGATGTTGGTCCTGGAGGTGACGGTGAGGAGTTGATTGTGATGAGGTGATGATGAGGGAGGTGATGATGAGGGAGGTGTAGGTGAAGCGGTGATGATCGAGCGACCCTATCAGCGTGCGCCCGCCCGCCAATGACTTGAGACACTCGACCCACCCCCACCGGCCTGGGCTAGATTCTGTACGCGGGTAACTCGGGACCTCGCCGGCAGCGGGGGGCCAGGAAAGTCCGTAGGCTTTCGAGGCCTACCTACGTGCTCGTGCGACGGTAAATTCTCCGTGGCCGAACGAGTCTTTAAATCAACAACAACCCTTTCCCCCCACCCACACACAACTTTTTTTTGCTTTTGTTTGCTACTTAATTAAAAAAGGCGCTCGTCTATAACGCGACGAGACTTTAAACCGCGTTGGCCTCAAGAGCGTTCGGTGCTAAGCGAACCGGTGTCACGTCGCACGCGGCCGCGATCAATCCGCTGCCGGATCGAAGGATTCCATCCGCGACCTGCCGTCCCGTTCCATTCCATGTAGGATCGACTTAGCGCCCTTGAATTGCCGAGGACGTTCGCCAAATGGTCATTTGCTCGCTCGCGAATGCTCCGTGAAGCCACTGCCATCGAAGGGTAAGATGGGGTAATCCTCATCCAGCAGCGGATTGACCACTGCTGCTGCTGCTGTTGACGGTGATGATGAATGTGCCTGCGTTTGACACGGAGTGAGTGAGTTTGACTGGCGGCCACGAATTCCTTCACAATGAAGCACGCATCGACCGGCGTTTGTGAAGTTGCGGCCGAGCAAGCCACTGGGACGCGACGCCGCGTGGGGCGCTTTCACCCAGCAGTGGATTGACGAGGCCTGTAAATTGGGGGTCCTGTAAATTGGGGGTTCTGTTAAGAGCCTGGAGGGGAGGGCACAGTCATCATAGCCCAAGCTGTTTAGTCGGTACCACCTCGGTGTGGAAGTTGCTACATGTATCCGCCATGGTCATTGTCCCACCATGGTCAGTGTCCTAGCACGGTCGGTGTCCCACCGTGGTCAGTGTCCCACCGTGGTTAGTGTCGTACCATGGCCAGTGTCTCATCGTAGTCAGCGTCCCACCGTGGTCAGCGACCCACCGTGGCCAGTATCCACCATAGTCAGTGTCTCATCGTGGTCAGTGTCCTACCGTGGTCAGCGTCACACCGTGGTCAGCGTCACACCCTGGTCAGCGTCACACCGTGGTCAGCGTCCCACCCTGGTCAGTGTCACACCGTGGTCAGTGTCACACCGTGGTCAGTGTCACACCGTGGTCAGCATCCCACCCTGGTCAGTGTCACACCGTGGTCAGCGTCACACCGTGGTCAGCGTCACACCGTGGTCAGTGTCACACCGTGGTCAGCATCCCACCCTGGTCAATGTCACACCGTGGTCATCGTCACACCGTGGTCAGCGTCCCACCCTGGTCAGCGTCCCACTGTGGTCAGTGTCCTACCGTGGTCAGCGTCACACCGTGGTCAGCGTCACACCCTGGTCAGCGTCACACCGTGGTCAGCGTCCCACCCTGGTCAGTGTCACACCGTGGTCAGTGTCACACCGTGGTCAGTGTCACACCGTGGTCAGCGTCCCACCCTGGTCAGCGTCACACCGTGGTCAGCGTCCCACCCTGGTCAGTGTCACACCGTGGTCATCGTCACACCGTGGACAGCGTCCCACCCTGGTCAGCGTCACACCGTGGTCCGTGTCACACCGTGGTCAGCGTCCCACCCTGGTCAGTGTCACACCGTGGTCAGCATCCCACCCTGGTCAGTATCACACCGTGGTCAGCATCACACCCTGGTCAGTGTCACACCGTGGTCATCGTCACACCGTGGTCAGCGTCCCACCCTGGTCAGCGTCCCACCCTGGTCAGCCTCACATCATGGTCATCGTCACACCGTGGTCAGCGTCACACCCTAGTCAGCGTCACACCGTGGTCATCGTCACACCGTGATCAGCGTCCCACTGTGGTCAGCGTCCCACCCTGGTCAGTGTCACACCGTGGTCAGCGTCACACCGTGGTCAGCGTCACACCGTGGTCAGCGTCACACCCTGGTCAGCGTCCCACCCTGGTCAGTGTCACACCGTGGTCAGCGTCCCACCCTGGTCAGCGTCCCACCGTGGTCAGCGTCCCACCGTGGTCAATATCCCATCGTGGTCAGCGTCCCACCGTGGTCAGCGTCACACCCTGGTCAGCGTCCCACCCTGGTCAGTGTCACACCGTGGTCAGCATCCCACCGTGGTCAATATCCCACCGTGGTCAGCGTCACACCCTGGTCAGTGTCACACCGTGGTCAGCGTCCCACCGTGGTCAATATCCCATCGTGGTCAGTGTCACACCGTGGTCAGCGTCCCACCCTGGTCAGCGTCACACCATGGTCAGCGTCCCACCCTGGTCAGCGTCACACCATGGTCAGCATCCCACCGTGGTCAGCGTCACACCCTGGTCAGTGTCACACCGTGGTCAGCGTTCCACTGTGGCGAGCGTCCCACCGTGGTCGGTTAAAAGCTTAACGTCGTTCCTGCCCGTTTCGTACACACAACTTGCAATTTATTTATAGTCACATTCCATAGACGTTTCATATCACAGTTGATTCCCCCAAAACGATCATCTCGTATCAAAGCATACGAACGATTTATTTATACCGCTCTGACCTCTCTTTTGAGCTGTGAAAGAGGGCTGTTGTCCGAAACGTCGCTTATTATATATTTGTTCGATACGGTACTTTTCTTTAATGATGAATTTTAAAAAAACAAAGCTACGACATTCATCTTGCTATCATTCACCTTTGTGATCCGGAGATTAAATTTTTTTTAAGAAAATCATTTTGAGCAATCGCCATATGGGCTGGTACCGATGTGCCATTTTTGGCCTGACGCTATTTTTTTTATCCTCTCATTAAATTCATGAAGTGACAAAATGAAGGAGGTACTAAAATAAAAAAAAAACATTTTTAGACATCTTCATCTCCACTTGCCCTGCAGTACTCATATATGGGAACGATACTTTAATCCAAACAGCCTTCGGCCATGTAGACTGGTTTAGAAATAGGGTTCAAGTAAAACATTGTCTCAGCTCCTATTTAATCATGGGGAGATTGGCACTTCAGGTCTACTATGGAGCCGTGCACACCTGGGTTTAGGATTAGGGGTTAACAGCAGCAAACCCTGAATCGGCTTGAGCTTGCAAGAGTTTAATCGGCAGGGTCAGGCCTCTCGGTCAAATCCCCAGTGGCTTTACGGATGTTAATATGGTACGAGTGTCCGAGGCGGGAGTGGAGGCGGAGTGGTTCCGTTCCCAGCCAAGGCTAACGTCGGTGGTGAGTATTGACAGAGGCGCTCCCGGGCCTCCCCTAGGTTGACTCGGCCTCAAATGCTACACCGGAGAGACGTGCGACCGGTTGCAGCGCTGTCCACACCGGCCCCACATTGTGCCATGTCAAACTTCACAAGCTGCTTGCTGAACATCACTTGCCCCAACAACCGGTGTGGCTATACAGGAGGAATCTTTTTTTTTCCCACAATAAGTTAAATGAAGGCCCTGAATGGGGTGAACCGTGTGTGTTAGCGCGTGTGTGTGTTAGCGTGGGGAGCGGTAGTGCAGCGGTTAACGCGCTGCGCTACGAATCTGGGAACCCGAGTTCGATTCCCGCTCACGGCCAAGACCAGTGACGATTGTTTGAATAGGTCCTGGGCCTCCCTTAGGTCGACTCAGCCTCAAATGAGTACCTGGTACGGTGTGTAAACATCGCCACTCGGGAGACAAAGTGGGCGAGCGTGGTGTTGGCCACCCACCCCCTCGTGCTCCGTTCCGGCCTTCATAGGTGCTCGCTAACAGCAATTGCCCCAACAGTCTGTTCAGGCTACACGGGGGATCTTTGTCTTTGTTGGCGTGCAGGTGCCTGGTGGCATCACGACCAGCCGGAATAGCGGTAATTGTTGCTGCTGCTGCAGTATCATCGTCTGAAACACTCAAGAGCAACAGCTCCAGCGGCTGACACGGGGAGGCAGGGCCGGAGGTGGTTCCATCGCCACCCACACCGCTTTGCCGATTGGTAAGTCTCTGGCAGGATCCTGCACCAAGCTGAGGTGCAAGATCGTGAATCTACGAGCCCTGCCACCGTGCACTCTGAACCCTGCATTTGTTAAAAGTCATAATGGAGGGTGATCCATATGTAAATATCCCAATTTAATAATAATAATAATAGGGATACATAATAGAGAAGACAAACTTTGTATTTCAAAACCTCTGCCTGTCTCTCTCCCACCAATCCCAACACACTTGTTTAGTCTTTTAACAGCCTCCTTTGTAGCATTTAGAGCCATCGCTTTTGTTAAATTCAATCACCTGTTGGGGAGAGGTCTGCATTGACCGACGTAGTGAATCATGGTTCCAATAACCCCCAAAATCCGCTGGGCGTGGGGAGGCCCTCATCCAGCAGTGGATTGACGTTGGCAGCACGTGTACAGCACGTGCATTTTTCTGCACTGCCCTCCACTGCGGTCCTATACCACCTGTTGCACACTGTGGTGGCCAAATCCAAGCACAATCCAGGATTGGGTCTTTTCTGCTTGAGCTTCTGAGACCTGATGGCATGACGGGTGCTCTCACGACCACTTGGTAAAGGTGCGGTGCTGTGCAAGTGGGTGGCATCTCCAAAGGAGATAACGCACGCGCGTGTGTGTGTGTGCGTGCGTGCGTGCGTGTGTGTGTGTGTGTGCGCGTGTGTGTGTGCGTGTGTGTGTGTGTGCGTGTGTGTGTGCGTGTGTGTGTGTGTGTGCGTGCGTGTGTGTGCGTGTGTGTGTGTGTGCGTGCGCGCGTTGCACTCTGTCCGTTTAGGCTTGCGTGGTTTTAGCTCGAAGCCGCTTTTCAATCTTTGGAGCCCGACACCGGCGGAGGAATGGTGAGTGGCGGCACGGCGTGCCGGGGAGTGTGTGTGTGCGCGCGCGCGTTTGAGTTTGTCAGTACAATATCGCGGGCTTATAGTATGCGGTTTCGACCTATCGCGGGCAAACTCTTTGTGTACCAATTTAACTTTCGCGGCCTCCATTAGGTCGACTCAGCCTCCAATCTGTACCTGGTGCGATGTGTAAACATCGCCATTAGGGAGACAAAGGCGGCCGGGCGTGGTGCTGGCCACCCACACCCCCTCGTGTCGTGTGCCGTTCCGCCCTTGATAGGTGTTCGCTAACAGCACTTGCCCCAACAGTCTGTGAAGGCTCTACGGGGGATCTTTGTCTTTGTTTTGTCTATCCTGGAGTATCTAATCTGCTCTCCGTGTTTTCCCCCACAGTTTGGCTCCAATAACTTCATGAACATGTCGGACCCCAGCTTTCTATCCACCACAGAGGTGAGCTCCCCCCCCCAACCCCCCCTGCCTCCCCAAAGCACCCCCCTCTACACTGACATTGTTCTCAAGACTCTCGCCTGTCCCACTCTCTCCAGCAGGGCTTTCAATCTTTCGACGAATATACATATATATACATATTCTTCGGGTTGCCCGGAGACCGGAGTAGGTGGGCACGTATCTGATAGCAACCACGGCCGTTGGGGAGACGTATGGTGGCTGTGGCGTGCTGGGTGCGGATGGACTCAGCTGAAATTAAGCCCTGGTCTTCGGGGACCCTCCCTACCCCCCAAATAAACCCCAGACGCCCTGCACCGATGGGCAACGCCGATGACGTCACTTCCTGGCGCACGGCCCCTTGGGAGGCGACGCTGGCGTTGGGCGGCGCGCGCATGCGTGCGCGCGTGTGTGTCTCGTGGGCACCAGAGATGTGTGTGGCGCGGGTTTATTTTTGTGTCGTTTGAGTCACCGCGGGTAACGACGCTCGCTCGCGCTCGCACTCGCTCGTCTGTGTCAGCGGCTCGTCTTGTGTCAGCGGCGTCCGCGGTAAAACAGGTGGGCTTGTGCTTGTGCGTAGGTGCACCGCGCCCCAGGTGTGCACAATTATTATCTTGTCTTTTTGCGCAATTCTATTTTAACGTACATTTTTGTTCAAGTCACGGTGGCGTGCGGTGGTGTCTTGGCGTGTTGGTGCAGCGGTTTGTGCGTGGCGCTACGGACCTTCAACCTGGTTTCGATATCTGCCCACGGCAGATATAACATTGGTGGTGGGTGATATTTGAACAGGTCCTGGACACCCAGACTACCCAGCTGACTGATATAGCATCTTGCCGAGTGACTAATGCACAATTGGATAGCAGCCGATTCCTGAAAGTCTTAATTTGATGCACGTATTTTATTTTTAATCACAGTTGCTGAGCGCAAACCTAAAGTCCCACAATGTCAAGCAGGCAACGACAAACAGCACCGTTGTAGGTTGTAATAGGTGATGGTTGATGTGTTTCTTGAATTGAGCGAGGTTATTTTTGTAAAAACTTGGGGGGGGGAGGGGAGAGATGATGAGAGGATGGAATTCCAAATTGGAGAAGTGCGAGAAAATAATCAGAAATAGAAGTGTTGTGACCTGCAGTTTGGTGGGTGGGTAGGTGAGTGAATAAGTGAGTGAGTGGGTGGGTGGTTGAGTGAATAGGTAGATGGGTGGGTGGTTGAGTGAATGGGTAGGTGGGTGGGTGAATGGGTGAGTGAATGGGTGGGTGGGTGAATTGGTGAGTGAATGGGTGGGTAGGTGAGTGGGTGAGTGAGAGAGTGGGTGGGTGGTTGGATGGGTGAATTAGTGGGTGGGTGAGTGAGTTGTGACCTGCAGTGTGGTGAATTAGTGAGTAAGGGGGTCGGTGGGTGAGTGGATGGGTGAGTAAGTGGGTGGGTGGGTAGGTGAGTGGGTGAGTGAGTGGGTGGGGTGGTTTGGTGGGTAAATGAGTGGGTGGATGAGTGAGTAGTGACCTGTAGTGTGGTGAGCGAGTGAGTAAGGGGGTGGTTGGGTGAGTGGATTGGTAAGTGGGTGGGTGGGTAGGTTAGTGAGTGAGTTAGAGAGTGGGTGGTTGGGTGGGTGAATGAGCGGGTGGGTGAGTGAGTTGTGACCTGCAGTGTGGTGAGTGAGTAAGTGGGTGAGTGGGTGGGTGACTGACTGAGTGGGTGGGTGGGTTGTGGTTGAAGGTGGTGTTGATGAGTCTGGTAGACCAAGTCCTCGGTGTGGATGGAGTAACAAGTGAAGTTTACGGGAGCGTGACAATCAACAAAACCACCGAGTCGATGTTTCGTTACAACCTGGGCAGCCGTCGGGTTGTCTGTTGTTTGCTGCGCTTGTGCGGTGGCTGTGGTGGTGTTGTTGTGTCGGTTGTTGCCAGCGCAATACCGCACGTCTTGTTATTGCAGCAGCTGCATTTACAAATAATTAATCATTGTGTAGTATGAAAAAATAAGAATATGTTTTACTTTGATACTGGTTCAAAGGTCCCATTTTGTCATCTATTGCTTCATCTTGTATTGTTGTCGTTGCTGCTACTGCTGTTGCTCCTGCTGTTGTTGCTGCTACCGTTGTTGCTGCTACTGTTTCTGTTGCTGCTATCTATTTTTCTGTTTTGCTGCTGCTGATATTTTGCTGATCTCATACTGGTGTTGCTGCTGTTGTTGCTATCGCTTGTGCTGCCGCTGTTGCTGTAGATGCTGCTGCTGATGCTGCTGCTGGTGCTGCTGCTGCAGTTGCTGCTATTGATGCTGCTATTAATGCTACTTATGCTGTTGTTGACGCTGTTGCTGCTGCTACTGCTTTTGCTATTGATGCCTCTACTGATGCTCTCGCTGATAATACTGTTAATGCTACTGCTGCCGGTGCTGCTGCTGTTGCTATCTTTTACCGCTTGCTGCTGCTGCGGCCGCCGCCGCCGCTGCTGCTGTTATTGTCGCTGCTGCTCTTACTGGCTCTGCCATCGTAGCTGTCATTGCTGCTGTTGTTGTCGTCGTCGTCATTTTGCTACCACCCCTGCTGCCACTGCTGACCCTTCCACTGCTGTCAAACCCCCGCCACCGTCCAACCACCCCCCGTCCCTCCCCGACCACCCCCCACCCCGTCACCCCCGGCAGACGTTCCACACTCCGAGCCTGGGCGACGAGGACCTGGAGATTCCCCCCATGTCGGCGCTGGGCGACCCCTCCGAGGAGCTCGGCCTTCCCGGGGTGGACCCCTCCGCCGTGGACGGCGGAGGGGTCGTCGTCCAGGCCTTCGGGGGCTCTTTGCAGCCCGTGGCCGGCGGGGGCGTCCCCGACATCGGCAGGACGGCGATCGGTGGCCATCCTGGCAGCGGTGCCGGCGGCGTCATCGGCGGAGACTTCTCGCCGCACTTCCCGCCGGCGCAGGGCCTCGAGCTGCCGAGCCTAGCCATCGCGGGCGGCCTCCTGTCGGCCGAGCCGGCCCTGCTGGAGGCCACACTGGACATGGTGAGAACACCACCACCACCACCGCTGCCGCCACCACCACCACTCTTGTCGACAACGTTGGCCCGACCGTGCAGTCGGAGATAATTGATGATGATGATGATGTTAATATAATATCCATTATAATTAGGGGAGCGGGGAGCCGGGTGGCTCAGAGGTCAGTGCGCTGAGATTCTGGGCTCGAATCCAGGTTCAGCCGCCGTTGATTAAATTGGGTTCTGGATGCGTATTGAGTTGATGGTCTCAGAGCAGTTGCCATTGACTTACTACACAGAGACCCATAGTCGCACAATTTATGGATTGACAGGGACATTAATTGTATTGAGCAGATAGATGTTCTCAGCCTGGAAACTAATGACTCGCATTGGAGCTGAGAATAATAATTCGTTGTGGAATTGGCACCTCAGTTAACGTTTTGAGCTTCTGACAGCGTGCGAGTGAAATTAATTTCCAGGGGGGGGTACGATGCGCCCACTGCTACATCGCAGGACCGTGAGAAATGGCGACGGCTTGGAGAGAGGTCTTCATCCAGCAGTGATTTCATCATTCCTTGTGACGTCTAGATGTGTAGACATGCGATCTCCCCGAGTGCTGTGGCCTTCGTGACCTGTGGGAGGGGATTAGTGGGGGGTGCGGTAGTCGGAGGGGGGGGGGGCACCACTGAGCTAGACACCGAGGAGCGCCACGGTGGCTAGGAGATGTTAACTACCTCGCCTGGTATACAGGAGGGCGTGGGTTCGATCCCGACCCTGACGCCTGCTGCTGTATATTTGGAGTTTGCGTGTCTGTCTCTCATCATCATCATCATCACGGTGGCTAGGAGATGTTAACTACCTCGCCTGGTATACAGGAGGTCGTGGGTTCGATCCCGACCCTGACGCCTGCTGTATATTTGGAGTTTGCGTGTCTCTCTCTCTCTCTCCCGTGGCGAGATGTTAACGATCTCGCCTGGTACGCAAGAGGTCGTGGGTTTGATCCCGACCCTGACGTCTGCTTGAAATTTGTAGTTTGTGTGTTCTCCCCGTGGCTGCTGTAAATCTCCACGTGATGATAAGTCACTTCTTCGTTGAGCTATCATTTGTGGCCAGGTCGCTTCTGAAAAAAGAGCAACATAGCTCTGTGGGCCTTTACCTGCTAAAATAAAAATAGTTGATAGTTTACATTCTTAAATCGAATAGTGATCGTAGCGACACTCAGCGCTAATTAACTGAACGGATGATCGCGTTTTCGCAATTCGCGATTCCAGCCTCTCATGCCTCGCCTCCACAGGACACATCCCCGTACGTCCACGCACACAGTCCCCACATGAGCATGGCGGGACTCATACATCAGCCGCCACAGCTGCAGCTGCAACAGCACCAGCAGCAGCAACAACAGCATCAACAACAGCATCAGCAGCAGCCGCAGAGGACCACCCTGCAGCTCCGCTCGCACTCCTTGGCGGGCTCCCACGGGGGGCTGAGTGGGCCGCTTGGGAGCATGGGCATCCCGCACGGTCAGCTGACCACCATTGACCAATCGCACCTGGGCCTGGGCCACGGCTCGCCGTCGCCACCCAGCAGCAAGTCGCCCACGCCGTCACCGTGCAGCTCGCTGGAGCCCGCCGAGGACCCCGAAGAGGCTGCCCGCGTGAGTGCCCGTGTCGCCCGCGCACGTCAGCGGCAGCCTTGTTTAGAACTGCTTTTTGCGTGCTTGTTGTCCTTGCCCCCCCCCCCCCCCCCCGCCTCTCACCCCCTCCCACTGCGGTGGAACTGGTACAGACTGCGTCTGGGAAATGCAGCGTGATAGCCTCGCTATCACGGCAGAGAAAGGCACCCAAGTCGGGAATCGAACCCAGACGCTGCTTGCTGCGAGGTGCAAGTGTTATCACTACGCCGACAACAAACGGCAACAGCAGCAGCATGTTGTTGTTTTTATTCTTGGTTCTTTCGGTAAAGTCACGTAGAAGGGAAACAATAAAGTAATAAAAATAAAAAGCAATATTATTTCATTATTTTTTTTATTATTTCATTGCTTTCCCTTCTACTTGGTGACTTTACCGAAAGAACCAAGAATATGAATCCCTGCAGTCACGAAAGCTTTAAATCAAAATGTTGTTGTTTGTTGATGTTGTTGATGTTGTTGTGTGTGCAGGTGGCGCTGGAGAAGAGGCAGCTCGTAGAGCTGCAGCGCAAAGTGAAGCCCAGCAAGCGTAAGAAGAAGAAGGACCCCAACGAGCCCCTGAAACCGCTGTCCGCGTACGCCCTCTTCTTCCGAGACACGCAGGTGCGGCCTGGCCCACACCCTGACCTCGCTCTCACCTCGCCGTGGTCTTCACCATGACCCGCACTCTGACTTACCCTGACCCTCGCCGTAATGTTAGCCTGGACCGCACCGTGACCCTCGCTGTGACTTACCCTGACCCTCGCCGTAATGTTAGCCTGGACCGCACCGTGACCCTCGCTGTGACTTACCGTGACCCGCACTCTGACTTACCCTGACCCTCACCGTAATGTTAGCCTGGACCTCACCGTGACCCTCGCTGTGACTTACCGTGGCCCGCATTGTGACTCACCGTGACCCGCACTGACTCACCCTGACCTTTGCTGTAATCTTCACCTGACCCTCACCGTGACCCACACCCTGACCTCGATGTAACCCTCACTGTGATTTTCACCATGACCCTCAGCATGACCCTCATCCTTTCCCATCATTACCCAAGCCGCTACTCGTTGCTGAACCCCCCGTGACCTCTGCGACCCCTAACCTCCCCCACATCCCTCCCCCTCCCCGTGTGCCCCCCCCACCACCACTCCGATGTGGCTCAGGCGGCCATCAAGGGCCAGAATGCGAGTGCCACGTTTGGTGAGGTCTCCAAGATCGTGGCCTCCATGTGGGACAGCCTCGGGGAGGAGCAGAAACAGGTGGGTCCACCACCACCGCCACACTCTTCCGCCACACTGCACCGGCACACTTCATTGCCACACTCCACCACCACACTCCACCGCCACACTCCACCGCCACACTCCATCGCCACACTTTATCGCCACACTGCACCGCCACACTCCACCGCCTCACGCCACCACCACACTCCACCGCCACACTCCACCGCCACACTGCACCGCCACACTGCACCGCCACACTGCACCGCCACACTCCATCGCCACACTGCACCGCCACACTCCTCCGCCACACTGCACCGCCACACTGCACCGCCACACTCCACCGCCACACTCCACCGCCACACTCCACCGCCACACTCCACCGCCACACTCCACCGCCACACTCCATCGCCACACTCCATCGCCACACTCCACCGCCACACTCCACCGCCACACTCCACCGCCACACTGCACCGCCACACTGCACCGCCACACTCCCATCGCCACACTGCACCGCCACACTCCACCGCCACACTCCACCGCCACACTCCACCGCCACACTCACCGCCACACTGCACCGCCACACTCCACCGCCACACTCCACCGCCACACTCCACCGCCACACTCCAGCGCCACACTCCACCGCCACACTGCACCGCCACACTCCATCGCCACACTCCATCGCCACACTGCACCGCCACACTCCACTGCCATACTGCACCGCCACACTGCACCGCCACACTTAATCGCCACACTGCACCGCCACACTCGACCGCCACACTGCACCGCCACTCTCCATCACCACACTCCACTGCCACACTGCACAGCCACACTCCACCGCCACACTCCACCGCCACACTCCATCGCCACACTCCATCGCCACACTCGACCGCCACACTGCACCGCCACACTGCACCGCCACACTCCACCGACACACTCCACCGCCACACTCCACCGCCACACTCCACCGCCACACTGCACCGCCACACTCCACCGCCACACTCCACCGACACACTCCACCGCCACACTGCACCGCCACACTCCACTGACACACTCTACCGACACACTCTACCGACACTCCTCCACCACACTGCACCACCGCTCGTCTTTTAGTCCACAACTCTCCACCACAACGCTGATCCACCGCACTCTCCACAATCCACCACTCGCCCCACAGTTCACTAAACTCGCCCCAGAGTTCACTTTAATCGTTCCACAGTCCACTGAACTCGCCCCATAGTTCACCATGCTCGCCGGATAGTCCACAACTGCCGTCCCTTAGTCCACTGCACTCACCCAATGGGGCAAATATACCACACGGTGCCTCCACCGATGACCAATCGGAGCGGCACGACGCGCCATGTTTTGGACGATCCCACTGGAGCCGATTTCCGATCCATGACTCTGACACTCAGATTGTAAATGTTGTGGATTTGCTCTCCAACGCTCCGGTGTGCTGTACTAATAACGAATTGGCGTGTTCTGTTTACGTGACGAACCTTACTTAATTGGCTGTGTCGAGTGGTGGCGCGTTTAGCGACACATTCATATTTACGCCATCTAATCCCAAGAAAAAAAATCTGTATTATGGATGATATTGGTCGCGAAAGCCTACGTGTTAAACATACTTGATACTGTTGTACAAATGAAAACGAAAATAATTCAAGCCACGTGTAGGGAATACATTTTGGGTAGAAATAGGTCGGCCGCATATCTGGCGCTAAATCGTACTAACGGATACCGGCGTTACGTGTTTGTTGTCCTTCCCCCGCACCTCCCATTAGCGCCGTTGGCTACGTGCGGGGCGAAAAAAGTTCAACTTGCATACGTACATGTTTTCTGTTGTTTATATTTTACATTAAAGGGCATAAGCACGACAGCGGTCGCCCTCATTCGCGGATGAAACGGTGCGCGTGTATCGGGCCTGGCCCAGGTTTACAAGCGGAAGGCGGAGGCCGCCAAGAAGGACTACCTGAAGGCCCTCGCAGCATACAAGGACGGCCTCCTGCCTCAGGTGAGGGTGGGCCAGCTCGCCACGCTCACCAGGCAGGGCGCCGATGGTGGGGGCGGCGGGGGGGTGGGCTGCTGCTGTGTGGTGCGTTGGGGAAGCCGTGGTGATGACGGTGGTGTTGGTGTTGTTATTGACGATCTCTGGCGTTGATGGCGACGTTATTACATTTATTTCGTAACGTTATTTTTGTTGCAATTGTTTTCTCTGGAAAGCCTCCCCGGGGTCTCATGACTTATTTTCAGGAGGTTCCCTGCCAAGTTTTTGCAGTAGGGGGCGATGATTGCCACTGGATATGTGTGTGCTGTAATCACAGTTGAGTACATTTGCAGGTAATGTCGCAAATTTGACGAACTTGGACCATTGCACGACAATGGGCCCACTCTTGCGACCGACGTCACGGAAACTTGAATGTTCACCGTGAAGCGGAAGGAGCGCAGTGATATTTTTTACGGTTAATACTCGCAGCCGCAGCATTAACCAGGGCGGCCGCTGCATTCGAAACCGTGAATCCCTGCAACTAGCGGCAAAGGTGCCACCACTGGTTGCCGGCTGCGGTGGCGGTGGTGACATCGGCGACGGAGGGCGGCCGCGTTCTTGACCAGGGGTCGGCAAGCAGCGTCCTTACTCCGTGCCCCGACTGGACATCTGTGAAAAAGCGCTGTCCTACCAGACAGTCTCGTCCCTTCACCTGATGAAGGCTGCTTGTGTTGTGGCCGAAACGTCGTGAGAATATTATTGTGTTATTTTATTTTATCAATTTATTATTTTATTCTCATTCTACGTGACTTTACCGAAAGAACCAAAGAAGAAGCGCTTTATAGTTCATCGTATTCTTCCACTATAAATAAATAGTCACATTCTGATTCGCTATTCGGTAGAAAAAAAACCCCTCAATATTTCAAGAGCCCCCCCCCCCCAGTGCCACCCGAGTTCAAGACGCTGCTCTTTAATAAATAGCGGTCACGAAGCGGTCGCTTAAAGAGCCGCACGGGGCTGCGGAGAGCCGCAGGTCGCCCACGCTGGCGGCAGCGGCGGCCACGTTTGCCGACGTTGACGACGACGGTGGGCGCGTGACTGCCGGTACGACGTTCGTGGCGCGCCGGTTGTAACGTTGCCGGCGGACGGGCGGGCGGTCGCCGCCGCCGCCCCGCCTCCTCGCGCAGGCCGCCCTGGACCCGACGGACGGCGAGCTTCTCTCCGCGCTGCAGAAATCCCCCGGCGCCCCTCCGGCCCACATCGTGCTGGCGCCGGCGGCCACGCCGATGCCGCCGCCGCTGCAGCCTATGCCGCAGGTGATGATGCGGCCCGTCGTCGCGACTCACGCCAACGCCTCCGGGGGCGGCGGGGGCGCCGGCGCCGGCGTCATGATGGCCGGGGCGGGTCCGGCGGGGACCGGCGGGCGGGCGGTCGGGACCTCGTCGGTGTCCGCCATGGGGATGCCCCCTCCGCCGCCGCTCATGAGCGCCCCGCACTACCACCAGCGGCTCGCCGCCCAGCAACAGCAGCAGCAGCAGCAGCAACAGCAGCAGATGCTGATGGAGCAGCAGATAGTTCTGCAGGGCCCCATGAACCAGCGGCCTCCCTTGGTGGTGCAGCAGCAGCACCAGCAGATCCACGTGCACTCGCTCGTGAGCGACGACCTGCAGACGGTGCAGGTGACGCCCCTGGTCAGCGACAGTGACGTGGTGAGTACGGAGCCCTCACACCGTGTGCTGGTCCGCTGGTCGTCATGATGGCGGTGGTGGTGGTGGCGGAGGTGGTGGTGAGGATGGTGGTGGTCATTGTGCTGCTGTTGGCATTTGGTGTTGCTGGTGTCGGTGCTGATGTGCTGTGGGTGCTCCTGGCACGTGTAAGGGTGGTGGTGCCGATGATGGATGGGGGGGCACGTGACTCGTTCCGTGGTGCTGCTGTTGCTGGTCACTCTCCGTGATGACGTCGTCACTATGACCGGCGATGGCCAATCGTGCTGCTCCTACTGGCACGGCATCACCGCCACCGTCATCGTCCCCTCCTTACGACTTAACGCTCGGCGGCCCGGCCGCTCTCACCCACCCCGGCAGGTAATGGTGAGCGAGCCGATGGAGGTGCAGAGCGCCGGCGAGGAGCAGGCGGGCGCCGACGGCGGCATCGGCGGCGCCGGCGTCGACGAGGTGGAGGAGCCGGAGGGCGGGGTGGCGGCGGGCGCCGACGACTCGGCCGCCTCGGCGGATGACGCGATGCAGATCGAGCCCATGGAGGGCGGCGGCGCCGTGGTGCAGCGCATGGTGGAGGTGGCGCAGCAGCCTCTGCCGCTAACGCCGGCGGCCGCTGGTCGCGCCGCCACCGAGGCGCCGGTGACCGTGGTGCAGCAGGTGGTGCAGCAGATGGCGCAGCAGGTGCTGGTGCAGGCGGTGGCGCCCGCCTCCCCGCCCGCCGCCGCCGGCACGGAGGTGGGCAGCGGCGGTCGAGTCGGCGTCGATTGTCGAGGTCGAGATGGGGGCAAATAGATCGTGGAGTTGTGGTGAAAGCCTGCGGAGTCCCAGCGTGCGGTCGCTGGTCGTGTCCGCAAGGGAGGTGGCCCGCGAAATCCGTCGCAGACGCGACGATGTCGTGTCATTTTTAGTTTTTAGTATAACACGTTTTTTGTGGCGTACGTATGTATGCATTTGAACTTCTTTCGATCCGTCCGTAGCCAACCGTGTGAACGTGCAAGGTGATCCGTGGGTCCGGAAAGATTGGGCACCACTGCCGTCAGTCTGCGGATTTTTATCCGGTCATTCTCTGAATATAATAATTAGCGATAAAGTTATTAGTAAAATTGGGAGTAAAATAAGTGATTAATTAATTATTTGTGAAATAATTATTGGTTATTATATAAATTTATAAAAAATTATATAATTATTAATTATTAGTTAAATAATACATTATTGGTTGAATTATATTAGTTACATTTTGTAAACCCTTCATTCACTTATACGGCCAGTTTCCTTATTTAGTTTTTGGCTAAGTAGACGGCGGGGACTTTTAAGATTAATACACCCGCAGCATTGACCGGGGCGTCCTGCCGGATTCGAAACCGCGAACCTTTTGCCACGAGCGCCGAACGCGCTTTCTTCCCGGCGTGGCGTGGGGGGTCACCGTTGTTACCATGAATTTGACGTTCGGGGCCGTTCCGCCCCTCTCCTCCTCTCTCCTCTCTCTCTCTCTCGTCGGCAGAAGTCGCCGGCGCGCGTGGAGTGTCTGCCGGCGCCCTCTCCGCCGCACGCGGTGGTGACGGTGACGGCGGAGGCGGCGGTGTCGCGGTGCGTGCGCACGGGCTGCAACAACCCGTCGGTGGAGAGCGTCGACTGGGACAACGAGTACTGTAGCAGCGAGTGCGTGGTCAGCCACTGCAGGCGAGTCTACCCCCTGCCCTGGGGTACACAAGCGAAATGTGGTCATCTCCCATCACTCTACGTGCCGCGCGTGAAACGCCCATTGGCGTACATTTCTCTGACGTGTACGCGCGCGTTCACGTCATCGGAACGAAATCTGAAGGGCGTGTGGCACACAGTTTGGCTCCGGCTGTCGTAGAGTGCGGCGGGTTCGTGTCGCTACGGTTCTCTGCGGTGAGTAACGACAGCTTTAAAAACAGCGGCGTGACTACGCCTCTCTAAATAAAGTTAGCGCTGAGCCGCTCGTGTGTTCCCCAGATTCGGCGGTGAAAGGGACCCCCCCCAACCCTGTAACTTGCAGACGTGCCGGAGCAGGAAAGGATCAATATACGTTGTACGCCTTTTGGCGTCTTCTGGTCCAACACCAGTGGAGACTAGGCTCTAAGAAAAGCCGTCTCGGGTGTGGACCAATCAAATTCAAGGACAGTGCATATTATTATCAGAGTTGTTTCTTTTGTTTGCATTTTGACTGCTTGTGTTGTGGTTATTGCAAACATGATGCCTTGAATAAAGGTGTCAGTTTTTGTGCCAGTTAAAAGGGTGAAACCTATTACTATATCTTGTTACTGGCAAAGGAGGTCTCATAATGTAAATGCTCACCCCGAGCCCTCAATACTCTGATAGTGCGCTGTTTTTTGAGTTGTACGCCTTTTGGCGACTTCTGGTCCAACACCAGTAGAGTGGAGACTAGGCTCTAAGAAAAGCTGTCTCGGGTGTGGACCAATCAAATTCAAGGACAGTGCCAATATTATTATCAGAGTTGTCTCTTTTGTTTGCATTTTGACCGCTTGTGTTGTGGTTATTGCAAACATGATGCCTTGAATAAAGGTGCCGGTTTTTGTGCCAGTTAAAAGGGTAAAAACCTATTACTAGGATCAATATACAATATAGAGAGGAGCTTGGGAAATTGTTGCTTCGTGCCGGCTCTCCCGCCTGGCTGCCGAAGCTGCTGCTGCAACTACCTCTGCTCCTGCTTGTCTGTGGTTCCTGCCCAGCGCCTCCGAGACTTGGGAAATTTAAGTTATTATTAACGCCGGTAATTACGCCCTGAGGTTGTCGTGCACACGCTGGGGAAAACTCTGGAGCGAGGCCAGATGGGTTGGTGACCGATGGGCAGAAGCGGTGATGAAGTGGCAGTTGACAACGATAATGATGATGATGATGACAATGTTAACAATGATGACGACGATGAATACAATGGTGATCAAAATAACAATGGCAATGATAATGATGATGACAATGATAACGATGATGACAATCAAAATGAACTACGGCGACAATGAGGGAAATGATGATGATGATGATGGCGACGACTACGATGTTAACCCCAATGAAAGCAGCGTCGACGACGATGGCGATCGCGATGGTGGTAACGGTTACGACAATGTCGCGACAGGGACGTGTTCATGGCGTGGGTGGCGGCACGGACCCAGGCCACGACGGCGACGGTCAAGTGACCTCCGGCGGGCCCCCGCCCAGCTCCACGCAACCGGGGGGGGGGTGGGGGAGGGGAGCGACAGTGTGACGCCCGCGAATCGCGTCGCGCGATAAATCACGGCAAACGATGGCGACGCCAAACAATAATCACGTGATGGTGGTGGTCGGGGGAGGGGCGGCAAGGCCAGGTCTTCATTTGAACTGGAAAACATTTCTGCACCCGGCGCACAACAGCACACAGTACCGTAATACCTCTCTTGTCGTCGTAGCCCCTGCATCTGGGCACCACTCCAGCCCATGGGGCCAACCCACCGGTGCAGTTGCATCGCCTGCACACACTCGACGATGGATGACTACGTCGACGAACTGAACGCGGCGGCGGTGGCGAGGCCTCTCGGGCCGTCGTTAGCGTGCGGATGTCATCGGCGGTTGCGGCGGGGCGGGCGGGCGGGCGGGTGGGGGAGGGGAGCTCAAGGGATTAATTAGCGACGGTGATGAGTTAAATTGAGGTGGTGGGGGGGGGCAGGAGGGTTGTGGGAGGGAAACTTAGCGACGGGTTGGTGGAGGAGGTAGGGAGGGGAGGGGGCGGAGAAGGGGGGGGCGGGTGGAGGTAGACGAATCCGGTCCATAGTGCGTATCACTTTTTAAATGTATTATTATTATTGCTACCATTGCTGGTGGATAATTTTTTAAAGATGATATTTGCAATAAATATAAAGGGAGAACCCCCTTGGAGGGGGTTTCTCTCGCCTGGTGGAGAGGAAGTTTTGGCAGCGAAGTTAATGAGTTGGTTAATTAATCGACGACTTAGTTGCTTTGGAAGCCGAGCAGGTTTCAGCCTGGCTCATACGTGCCCGAGGCAACCGGCGTTTAAAGCGGTTTGCCGTAGGCCTGCAGGGCTGGGAGGTGGACAGAAGAGGGCAGCCCAGCAACATCTGTTGGTGCATTCTGCTTCACGGTCACGCGTATCCACGACGCACGCGGGCATGAGGAGGGCCCTGATCCAGCGGTGGATTGGCACCGGCTGTACATAGTTCCTGGCTTTTGCTGCACTTGGCCGCCCACAGCGAATGACCGCAGCCGACCTCTGGTACACTCAGCGGTCTCCAATCCAATCACTATCCATAAACTCAACCCAGTTTCAGCTTCTGTTCAGAATTGGTCGTGGTAACTATAACACGACAATGAAATGATTTACAACTCTGTCAATCCGCTCCTCGGTAAAGGCGTCGCCGAACCGATCCTGCTCGTAGGGGATCTTTGACCGTACTTCACCACGCTGCTTATCGCAGGTCGGTGTCGGCAGCGCCTGGGACTGCTTCAGATAATTCAACCGCTGATGGCCAGGGGTGGCTGAGCGGCAGAGCGAGCGGGCTTATGATGGGAAGGTTGCAAGTTCTGGTTATGGGTCGACTCGGCCCCGTCATCATTGCTTTCGAGTCGATAACACGAGTACTACTTTATAAGTAGGTCAGCTTTGGTTGTCCCATGGATAAACTTGCCCCCGCCACAGGAAAGTGACATTTCCACCGCTTGCTCACGCCAGCACGGAATCGCTTTGACTTGACGGACGTGTTCGCCGTGTCCAGGAATCGAACTCGGGTCTCCGTGTTGATGGCTCAGCGCGCTTAACCGCCTGCGGCAACGCCATTGGCAACGCGCGGTCAACTCTGGCGTCGCTGCCGCCGCCTTCTCGCTCATCTGCGGTTCCTTCCTCGCTGCTCCGAGTCGTCTCTTCGTGAGAGCGAGCGACTGCTGCGCGGCGACGCCCGCGCTAACGGAGCCGGCGTTCCAAGTTTCCCTCGCTCCTGTGCGGCGGCAGATGCGAGTTCCGAAATGGGCACGCCAAGCGAAATCGCACGAGTCGAGAGAGACGGCTGCCTGGCCGGCGTAAGCGCGTACGGCACGCGCCGCGGTACGCAAACGCTGCCCCACGTGCGACCGCGTAGCCGCGGTGCGAGTGGATTCGAGGCGCGCGACGTCGCGAGTCCTGGGTAGAAATAGTTTATCCGTGTATACGGCGCGAGGTCCGACAAACCGGCCCCGCATCGAGCGAGGGAAACCTGTGCGTAATTGTTCAGTGGCAGGGGTGGATCGCCCCACGGAAAACGACAACGCCGATAATGCAAAACGTGGCTAAGACGTATTTTTCGTTTACGCACAACGGCGGAGGGGCGGCGACGTGAATTGGTTTATCTTACGATTGTTATCTCTTTCTTTTAATCGCTTAGAATCGCTTTACTTTCTGACATGTTTGCAGTGACACGGGCGCCTGAGTCACGAACCCCCCGGCGAGTGAGGAGCGGCTGACGATTGAACTCTTGCGTGCGTGTGCGTAAAGATGCTTTATTTATTTTTCTTTCTTTCGCAAGCACGGCCTAACCCGCAACCCGCCATCCGGATAATCTGCCCACGGATTGAGAGTTAAATGAATTTGCTGAATGAGATGATTGTCATTAGGCGTGGGGGGGGGGGCTAGGTCATTACGGGTTTATTACTATACTAGATTTTAAGTTTTCGTGACTGCAAGGATCCATACTCTTGGTTCTTTCGGTAAAGTCACGTAGGTAAAGAAAAATAAATGACGTTTCGATTGCAACACAAGCGATCATCATCGGCTGATCATCAGCAATCATCATCATCTGATCATCAGCTGATCAGCCGATGATGATTGCTTGTGTTGCAATCGAAACGTCGTGAGTTATTTTTATTTTCTACCCACGTGACTTTACCGAAAGAACCAGAGAGTATGGATTCCTGCAGTCACGAAAGCTTCAAATCAAGATTGGGTTTATTACTATTTTATTCCACTTATTTCCCCGAGAAAGCCTCACAAAGTCTCAACATCCGGCAGTTCACCGACGTTGGTTCACGCGAGCATGATGCTGCTGATGAGACACTGGTATGGTGAAACTGGTCCAGAGTTTGCTTGTTTTCGAATCAACGCTGCCGAAATCGTGCACTCCCAGGATTGGACCGTGTGGTCGATGGGACGTGTAAAAAAAAAAAAACACAACTTTTTTTTTCAACGGACATATGTACGAAGGAAATATATTGTCTGCTTAATTTATTTTCACGTCTCAAAAAAGGGGTTTCCGCTAAAAAAAAATGTTTGCAGTCGGGCCGACGATTGTTGTGCGTACATTTCAATCGAGGAAATTAGCGGGTATATATATATTTTGTCGTTGCTGGCACACGAGCGACGGCCAGCGCTCTCTCGCGAACGTCGTCACAGGGGATCTGTATAACCCGTTCACTGCGCGGGCAACGCGCGCCTTTCCGCGTGCTATTCGCCAGGGGCGGCCTGCCGGAGCCGAACCGCGAGTCCCTGCAGCAGGCGGCGAAACGCGCAATGTGTTCATTGTCAGTGGGAGACAATAAGCGTTGTCTGGTGGGGGGGGGGGGCGGCGTTGATCATCAAGAGATATATCACTTGTGGTGGGGGTGTATAACATTCGCCCCCTACCCACCGACATTCACGATTCCATGAATTGTTGTGAATCAGGCTCTGCGACACCCATTAAACATTTTTTTTTACATTTGGTGTGAATGTAGCGGCCCTCAACCCGGTTGGCTGGGTCACGTGTATCGATGACCTACGGTGTCTACAAACCGGGGTGGTCTGGTGGAGCGGTGGCAGAGTGGTTAGCGCCTTGCGGTTCGTACGCTGTGGTTAGTGCGATGGCGCCGGCTTGGTGTGTCTCACCGAGCCACGTCTATCGTGGAGAGGGCATGGGCCTATTGTCACTTTACTTTCTTAAGAGGGTCAGCACGTGGGGGAGGGGAGGGAAGTGTGAGGTGGTAGGGGGGAAATGAGAGGGGGGGGGGCGGAAGTGTGAAAGAGGGGGCCGGAAGTGTGAAAGAGGGGGCCGGAAGTGTGAAAGAGGGGGACGGAAGTGAGGAGGGCGGAAGTAGGGACGCCATCTTGTTTAGTATATATAATTGTTATAAGACTAATTACATATTCTTGGTTCTTTCGGTAAAGTCACGTAGAAGGGAAACAATAAAACAATAAAATTCTCACGTTTAGACTGCAACACAAGCAATCATCATCAGGTATGAAAACCACGGCAATACAATTTTGATGATTGCTTGTGTTGCAGTCAAAACGTGAGAAATTTGTTTTATATTTTTTTGTTTCCCTTCTACGTGACTTTACCGAAAGAACCAAGAATATGAATTCCTGCAGTCACGAAAGCTTTGAATCAAAATTTTACAACACTAATTGTTATAACAACACTCCTACAACATCATAGTGCAGCGCCAGATTAAATACGCACTACAATAGTTTAAAGCGATTTGAAGCATGTTTTATTTTCAAAATGGAAATTTGGTTGGGGGGGGGGGGCAGAGCTTTGTGACGTCATTTGAGGGGGGGGGTCTGACTTATTGTGACGCCGTGTGACGTCATTTATGGACGGCCCCTTAGTAGTGTCACACCCACGAGGTGCGAAGTTGACTCTGGGAATGAGGTGTTGCGTTGATATTCCGCACGGCCGCGACGTTCCACTCTTGTTTCGCCAGCGTTTCTCCTGGAACTGGGCGAATGCAATGCCGAGGATGTTGACGGAAGGGGGTGGGAATGGGGACATCGCCGAGGTCTCTGTTGACGGGGGTAGGTTGTCTTCGGCAAGAATGCGCCTCAACTCCCGTGTTGCACGTCTTGCTCGATCCACTGCCCCCAAGCCGGCGAGGCAACAACGATCCACCCGCGTGCCAACGGGCCCCCACCCCCTTCGCATCGCTCCGTCTCCACGGCTGGCAGCCTTTACAAGGCGGTGGATAATCCTCAACGAGGTGGTGGTGGTGACGGCGTCAAGCGGCGGCCAAGACGCGCGCCCCTAGCCGCACCCCCAAGTCAGCTGAGCGAGCGAGTCATCAGCCGCACGTGCTCGGCGCGTGACGCGCGACGTCATCGAGTGAGGGCGTGGGTTGTAATGACGTCGTCGACGGGGAGCAGCGACGTCACCGGCGGGGGGGGGCGTTGCGCAACCACGGGCGGTGACGTCATCAAGAAGGAAGAGACGGAGCAGCCCCAACTCGCCATGGACGGTAAGGAAGCGGTGTTGGGGTTTTTGTTGTGGGGTGTTTGTTGTGGGGTGTTGTGTGAGAGTGACTGACAACTACAGCAAGGGGTATGTGTGTAGTGATGGCGGTGGTGGGTCTATGGTTCGCGTGCGTAAGTCAGTCGCGCTGAGCCGGAGATGTTTAGGAAGTGTGAAGAGGAGGCCGCGCGCGGCCTGGTGAGAAGCCTGCGGGATTTCCTGGCTGGACGGCCCGCGATGGAGCGCCACCTTGGCGGGGTCGTGTGGGCGTCCCCCCCCCCACCGTTATACATTTCCACAAGGCGATAAGCAATTTCGCTGAGCTATCATTTGTGGCCAGGTCGCTTCTGAAGAAATAAGTTTATACCTTCAGTGAACTTTAGCTGGTAAGATAACACATTTTTTGTGTTATATTTGTTAGTGTGATTCGTTTACCTCCGAAAAATGTCACTCCCCCATCGTGTTTCTGTGTTGTCACGTTCTGCCCTGCTCCTGCAGGACATCTGTGAAAAAAGAGCTTTATAGCTCGTCGGATTCCTCCTGTGGTATAAAATGATCTGATTCTCACCTCAAGTCTCGTGTCGTCTCTTCCATCCCCTCTCCCCCCATACTCATCCCCCCTCTCATCTATCAGAATATTTTTTTTATATTATACCGGAGGAGGGAATCCTATGAGCTATGAATCTCTTTATCACAGACGTCCAGTCGGACACATTACAGATCTTCTCTCTCAACTCCCTTGTGTGTTCCATGTCTTCTCCCCTCCTGTAGTTCTTCCCTATCTCCCCTCACGCCCCCCTCAGCTATCCCCATACCCCACCCCTTCTGACTCTCCCCAACTCCAAATCGCCTCCCCTGTTACCTGTCCTGTATCCTGTCCTGTTACCTGTCCTGTATCCTGTCCTGTATCCTGTCCTGTAACCTGCCCTGTTACCTGTCCTGTAACCTGTCCTGTATCCTGTCCTGTAACCTGTCCTGTATCCTGTCGTTACCTGTCCTGTTACCTGTCTTGTTACCTGTCCTGTAACCTGTCCTGTAACCTGTCCTGTATCCTGTCCTGTTACCTGTCCTGTTACCTGTCCTGTTACCTGTCCTGTTACCTGTCCTGTAACCTGTCCTGTATCCTGTCGTTACCTGTATAAAAGACACCTGGTAGCCAGAAATCTTTCTGATTTAGAGGGATTCAAATACTTATTTCCCTCATTAAAATGCAAATCAATTTATAACATTTTTGACATACGTTTTTCTGGATTTCGTTTTTATTCTCTCTCACTGTTCAAATAAACCTACCATTAAAATTATAGACTGATCATTTCTTTGTCAGTGGGCGAACGTACAAAATCAGCAGGGGATCAAATACTTTTTTCCCCTCACTGTACATGGTTCAGAATCGGAATCTTTATTTCATTGTTGTTGACGCGTGTGTGTGTCTCCTCTTTTCGCAGACACTTTGTTCCAGTTGAAGGTAATAAAAAGCGCTCCTCGCCTGCGATTCACGGCACAAACAAACAAAAAAACGAATTTAACATGTCAACAGAGTAGTGACGATGCCCAATTGATGATGATGCAGTAAAGGGTCGCTGATTTTTTAGTTTGTCTTGTGTTTAGGTGTTTAGGGTTGGGGATAAGGTGTGTGGTGTTCATGTGTTTGGAGTTGGGGATAAGGTGTGTGTGGTCTTCAGGTGTTTGGAGTTGGGGATAAGGTGTGTGTGGTGTTCAGGTGTTTGGAGTTGGGGATCAGGTGTATGTAATGTTCAGGTGTTTAGAGTTGGGGATAAGGTGTGTGGTGTTCATGTGTTTGGAGTTGGGGATAAGGTGTGTGTAATGTTCAGGTGTTTGGAGTTGGGGCTAAGGTCGTCGTCACCTTTTCAAAAACCGAACATATTTCTCAGCCAGCCTAGTTCTAGCAACGGAACTGCAGTTATAACAGTAATCAAGTTCAACGCAAGCATACCAACAGATCCCCGTGCGAATCAAGTCCCTCAACCCGAACACGAATGCCCATTACCAGACTGGCAGGCTGAAACTCCGGCTAATTGGGATTAGGGCTTGGGGTTAGAGGGCTTTGGGTGTAGGGGTTAGAGTTTGGAACTTGCAGTTCCTAAGGCTGCTTGCTACCTTTCCACAGGGATAGCGATATTTACACATCGCACCATTGGAGGCTGAGTCGACCTAGGGGAGGCCCAGGACCGGTTAAAATAATCGTACCTGGAGTTGGCCGTGAGCGGCAAGGTTCGTAGAGCAGCACGCTAACCGCGACACTACCGCTCCCCACTAGGGTATACACAGTTAGAACAGTAGGGGGCACAGGTGGTGCATCAGCCGGTCATGTCACTCAAGCAACGCATGGCACCTGCTGGGTCTGTCCCGTGGCCGCCTGCCAGCGGGCGTTCGACACTTCACGTGGCCTTAACGTGCACGTAGCCTGGCACAAGTGACGTCACCGCCACTTAGTAGCGAATGGCGGTTGTTGTATATACGATTGGAGGGTGGTGGTGCAGTTTTTCGTGCGCTGCGCTACAAACCTGGCGACCCAAATTCGATTCCTGCTCACGATGAGCAATAACAGTGGCGAGTATTTTAACCGCTTCTGGGCCTCCCCTAGGTCGACTCGGCCCCAAATAAGAATATGGTGCGGTGTGTAAACATCGCCACTAGGGAGACCAGCCACTTGCACCGGCCTTCATAGGTGCTCGCTAACAACACTTACCCCAACAGGATCTTTGTCTTGGTAGTGTGTGTACCCTGTGTGTGTACCCAGCGTACACACGGCTGCCGCTGTGGTCAACGTTGCTGCTCTGCTCTCAGTTCACAGCGAAGCAGCTGGAGAAGCTCTCCAAGAAGGCGGAGAAGGACGCCAAGACAGAGCAGGCCAAAGTCAAGAAGGTATAGCGCCACCTGCTGCATACCACGTGTGCCACTTGAACAATTTTTTTTATGTTACCAGGGAAGGCGCACTAAACTGTCACTTGTTCCCAGGACGCCACTCGAATCGCCCTGAATGTACCCAATCTCGTCCGCGCTCGGACGCCAAGCAGGCTTGATCGTGGTAGAGCACGTGGATGGGTGACCACCACCGGGGCTTGCGAGAGGTAGCGCTCGGTGGGCAGAGCGTTCTGCCACCTTGGCGCAACGAGGCGGGCATTGGCTCTTATCGAAACTCAACTATTACACTTTTATTTTATTTTACCGGGTAAGGCGCACTAAACTACGTAGCTCTCTTTCAGAAGTGACCCTGCCACAGATGATAGCTCAACGAAGTGGCTTATCACGTGGAGATTTATAGCTGCCAAATGCTCTAACATGCGTGACGTTGATTATGAATGTGGAGGGGGAAAACCGGAGGACCCGGAGAAAAATCCACGCGACCACGGGGAGAACGTGCATACTCCAAATATACAGCAGGCGTCAGGGTCGGGATAGAACCCACAACCTCCTGTGCACCAGGCGAGGTAGTTAACATCTCACCACCTTGGGCGTTCCATTGTTCCACCTGTTCCACTTGTGCCACCCATACCACCCGTACCACTTGTGCCTCCCCGCTCAACTTATATTGTATAAGGGTCTCTGATGTAAATCCATTGGGTGTCTCTGAATCTATGGATGTCTGTGTTGGTCTTTGGGTCTCTAAGTAAGTCTGCAAGTGCAGCCCAAAGAGCGTCTTTCCCTCTGTCAACGACTGGCTATCTCCCTCTATAGAATAACTATGCCAACTGTTACAGCATCTCGAAACGCGGTCCCATTTAGACGCGATATCAATCCACATTGCATCGTTTTTATTTTCACCAACATTTATATTTTTCGGAATTCCGGAGACTGTCGGGGGCAGTAGTGGAGCACCAGTCAAGTTGTTTTGGTTTATTTGTGAACCACGACCGATGGAGCAGCAGCAGCAGCACCGTCACCAAATAATCAGTGTGTTTTATACACTGGTAGTTGGGAATAGACCATGGAAACAATGTGTTTGTAGGTGTTGTTGGGCTGGGTGAAACGTGTGCAGGAGGGAGGCTAGGGTAAGCAACGTGAATATGTGTGGACACGATGAAGGGAAAAAACGGCCATGCTGGGTGGGACGCATCGGGATGGGGCGGTGGGGCGAATGCCAAGACGCCGGCATTGGGAGCGGTCTCCACGAGTCCGGTGATCACATGGGAAGAGGAGACCTCAGAGTGGACTCTGGGAGACTGTCAGGGCAGATCTATGGGTCTCTGTGTGAGCCTGTGTGTCTGTGTGAGCCTGTGGTTCTCTGTGTGAGCCTGTGGGTCCCTCTGTGAGTCTGTGGGTCTCTGTGTGAGCCTGTGTGTCTGTGTGAGCCTGTGGTTCTCTGTGTGAGCCTGTGGGTCTCTCTGTGAGTCTGTGGGTCTCTGTGCGAGTCTGTGGGTCTCTGTGTGAGCCTGTGGGTCTCTGTGTGAGTCTGTGGCTCTCTGTGCGAGTCTATCTAAGAGCAGATGGTGGGAGACTATCAGGGCTGATCTTGGAGGATGCTGTGTGTCTCCACCGCTCAGCAGCTGCAGGAACTGACAGAGGGTATAAAGCATTGGCGAGGTGTGGTGGTGGTGACGGCATCACCTACTTTGGCCACAATTACATGTTGATGTTGAGTGACTGGTAGTAAACTTTGCCCACTTCTTATTGACCTTTGCGTCACATCGGCGACACGGGCTGACTGTTACGTCTTATCCACACCGTGTTTAACTCCCACACTCCAATCGTCTCTTTCCCCAAACGCTTACAAAAAAATCCTTACTCCGTTCCAGATAAACGTATTAACCCTCACCTCGTGCAACTTTGCCCCACTAACTTAGCGCAGTGGGTTTCCGCGGCCAGTGTTATGATTCGTGATTTATTCTTGTGTTTGGCCTTGTTTTTTTAAAATTGTCACGCGTACAAACGTCGAAACAAAAGCGCCGGTTATAATTTGTCAGCGCCCTGCGAGTTAAGGAGCAATTCTCCACAGCCGAATATAGCGCGGTCGGTCGCTGCGGCTGCGTGACATCGTGCGAGTTTGGGGGGCACGTACACTCGGCAACTGCGTAAACCAACAATGAACCGAAAACTCCTCTCATGCCCCCCCCCCCGTCTCCACCCCTTCACCCCTCCACCCCCCCCCCACCTGCCCCTATGCACCTCCCCTCCCTCCACCTCCCCTCCCGCCGCCCACCAGGCGCTGCAGCAGAAGAATGTGGAGGGCGCGCGGATTTACGCGGAGAACTCAATCCGCAAGAAGAACGAGGCGCTCAACTGGCTCCGCATGGCGTCCCGCGTCGACGCCGTCGCATCCAAAGTGCAGAGCGCGGTCACCATGAAGGCGGTGAGGACCGCACCGGTGGAATTATCCAATTGCACCGCACCGCTGGAATAATCCAATTGCACCGCACTGGAATAATCCACAGCAGTACGACGATCCACAGCACCGCACCGCAGTACCACACCAACACCAGGACGGCACCACAACACGCGCACTATTTCTCTAGAATCTCCAGCTTCCTCCCACATAGCGCTCGTGAAATCAGTTCCCGGCGCGGTGTGTGATCTACATCAGAACTGGGGAGAAAAAGGCGGCTGGGCAAGGTGCTAGCCACACCACCCCCTCGTGCGCCGTGCTGGTCTTCGGTGTTGCTCGCTAACGGCGCTTGCCACAACAGTCTTGACGAGGCTATGCGGGGGGGATCTCTGTCTTTTCGATCAGGTGACCAAGAACATGGGTCAGGTGACCAAGTCGCTGGACAAGGCCCTCAAGTCGATGGACCTGCAGAAGGTGTCGGCCGTCATGGACAAGTTTGAGCACCAGGTGCAGAACCTGGACGTCCACACCTCGGTGAGTTCCGCTTCATCGCTCACACGGCCCCCCGGCAACCTGCCCCCCACCCCCTGACCACCACTTGCACACTAGTGAGGAGACAAAGACGGCCTGGCGTGGTGCTGGCCAAACGGCAATCCCTGCGTGTGCCGTGCCGGCCTTGATCGGTGCTCGCTAGCAGAGCTTCGCCCCGACTGGTCCGCATGGTTACCCGGAGGATCTTTGTGCGTGCGTGAATGTGTGAGTGTACGTGTGTGTGTGTGTACGTGTGTGTGTGTACGTGTGTGTACGTGTGTGTGTGTACGTGTGTGTGTGTGTGTACGTGTGTGTGTGTGTACGTGTGTGTGTGTGTGTGGGGAGTGGTGGTGTAGCGGTTAGCGCGCTGCGCTACGAGTCCGGCGGACCCAGGTTCGATTCCTGTTCACGGTCAACACCGGTGACGATTACCTGAACCAGTCCTGGGCCTCCCCTAGGTCGACTCAGTCTCAAATTAGTGCCTGGTGCAGTGTGTAAACTTCGCCGCAGGGGAGACAAAGGTGGCCGGGCGTGTTGCTGGCCACCCCACCCCCTCGTGTCCCTTACCGACCTTCATACGTTCTCGCCAACACAGGGGATCTTAACGTGTGCGTGTGTGCGTTGCACAGGAGATCTTAACGTGTGTGTGCGTTACACGGGATATTAACGTGTGTGCGTGCGTGTGTGTGTTACACAGGGGGTCTTGACGTATGTGCGTGCGTGTGCGTGTGTGCGTTACACAGGGGGTCTTGACGTGTGTGCGTGTGTGTGCGTGTGTGCGTTACACAGGGGGTCTTGACGTGTGTGCGTGTGTGTGCGTTACACAGGGGGTCTTGATGTGTGTGCGTGCGTGCGTGTGTCGCCCAGGTGATGGAGGACAGCATGAGCTCGGCCACGACGCTCACGACGCCCCAGGACCAGGTGGAGAGCCTCATCCACCAGATCGCCGAGGAAAACGGCCTCGAGGTCATGGATCAGCTGGACCAGCTGCCGGCGGGGGCCTCCACCGTGGGCGAGGCCAGCGCCCGCAGCCAGGAGGACCAGCTGTCCCGCAGGTGCGCGCGCCGCCACCACGGCACACGGGGACGACACGGGGACACGGGGACGGGGACACGGGGACGACACGGCACACGGGCACACGGGCACACGGGCACACGGGCACACGGGGACACGGGGACACAGGGACGACACGGCACACGGGCACACGGGCACACGGGCACACGGGGACACGGGCACACGGGCACACGGGGACACGGGGACACAGGGACGACACGGCAAACCGCTACGGCACACCGCTACGACAATTACAATTACAGAAGCATTTTAATCCGAAATTGCGACACCCGAGATCGAGATTGCAATTTATTTCGACGTACGCGATGACAACCGCAGCTCCCACCGGGAAACGCCGCCACGTTACCCTTTGGCACGACGGCGCCACGGCACGCTGGGACACGTTGCGACGGCGGCATGCAGCGGTGCCGAGGCAGTGAAGGCGGGTCGGTGTAACTTTCGGTTCTGTGTTCCTGTCACCCCCGCTCCCCCCCCCCCCACCCTCTCTGACGCAGGCTGGCCGCTCTGAGGCAGTGAACGCGGCCGGTAGCAGCTGCCTGCATTGCTTGAGAGAATCCACGTTTGTATATACAGTATATATATGTACACGCAGATAGACTCCTCTTACGTACACAGACAGTCTTACACACACCTGCAAAACACTCGCGTGCATTGCGCTAACCACTGCGCCACCACCCGGCACATACAGAAAGACAAAGATCCTCTGTTCTCACAAGCGCGTAGAAAGACAAAGATCTCCCGTGTGGCCTACACAGGCTGTTGGGGTAAGTGCTGTTAGTGGGCACCTTTAAAGCAGGCCACGGCACACACACACGTACACACGCATTTACGTACACACACACACGTACACACGCATTTACGTAAACACACACGTACACGCGCATTTACGTACACACACAAAGCACAAGTGAACAGGCTCACACTTTAAACCCAAACACTCACACACTTAAACACGTGTATACACTCTCACACAAAGACAAAGATCTCCCGTCTAGCCTTAACAGGCTGTTGGGGCAAATGCTGGAAGCGAGCACCTATGAAGTCCGGCACAGCATGGCACACGCCCGTCTGCCTTTGTCTCCTCCGTGGCAATTATTTTACGCACCGCACCAGGTAGTCATTTGAGGCTGACTCGACCTAGGGGTTGCCCAGGACCGGTTCAGACAATCGTCACCGGTGTTGTGCCGTGAGCGCTCCCCACACAACACTTGACATCCACGTACGAGCGCCTGCCAAGATGCACATGCCTATACACGCTGGCATGCACTTGAAGCCACACACTCGCGCGCACACCCACGCACCACACCACACTTCTCACGCACCGATCTAAACTTAGCTGCTGGTTGTGGTGATGAGAAACCTACCCGTGCTCTTTGTTTTTCTTTTCTCGTTGCGTTTCTCGGGTTTCCTCGTGCGGCTTTTTTTTTCCCCCTCCGTGGATTTTTGATTTTGATCGGCGATAGCGTCCGAAACAAAAGCCAACGACTGGTACAGTGCGTCCTCCGAATAACGTCGCCGGCAGATGCTCCGCATATGGGGGGGGGGGGGGTGGTGAATTTTGGGGACCCCCCACAAAAAAAATCTATAGCCTGAGAATAAAAGGGAATAATAATCGCGCAGAGCAGACTGACTGCCGTGAACGCCCTTGCAGCCTCGCCCCCGGTTGAGCGCTGTCACAGCCGCAGTGGCGTTGAAATAGCGCGCTCCTGAATTGGCTTTTTAGTGGTCGTCGGTCGAAGGGGAGCCGCGTGAAAGAATGGGGGATAAATTTGGTCTCCATTGAAACAAGGGGATTTTGTGAACGAAGCTGATATACCGGGGCGGGGGGCTGGGGGTGGTAGGTAGGCACGGGGAGGCACCCCCATCCCTGGGTTTGGCTGCTATTTAGAGGACGCGCTATTTTGGATTTCGTACCCAGCACTTTGTGTGAGAGCGAGAGTCGTGTGCGAGTGTGAGGGTGAATGGTGTGTGTGAGTGGGTTAAGTGTGAGAGTGAGTCGTGCGAGTGTGAGAGTAGTGACTGAGAGAGTGAGTAGTGTGTGAGTGAGAGAGTAGTGTGTGAGTCTGTGAGAGTGAGATAGTGTGTGAGAGTGAGAGAGTAGTCTGTGAGAGTGAGGGTAGTCTGTGAGAGTAGTGTGTGAGTCTGTGAGAGTGAGATAGTGTGTGAGAGTGTGAGAGTGTAGTGTGTGGGAGTGTGAGAGTCTGTAAGAGTAGTGTGTGGGAGTGAGAGAGTGTGAGGGTAGTCTCTGAGTGTGAGAGAGTGAGAGTAGTCTGTGAGAGTAGTGTGTGAGTCGTGAGAGTGAGAGAGAAGTGTGTGAGAGAGTCGTGTGTGAGAGGGCGAGAGAGTCGTGTGTGAGTCTGTGATAGTGAGAGAGTAGTCTGTGAGAGAGGAGTCTGTGTGAGTCTGTGAGAGTGAGAGGGTAGTCTGTGAGAGAGGAGTCTGTGTGAGTCTGTGTGAGTCTGTGAGAGAGTAATTTGCTCGTGCGCCAATCCTCCTACGCGGTGGCTTGCCCTGCGGGAGCCGTCTGCACAGCGAGCCCCTGGGGCATCTCGGCCGCGGTTTTTCCCCCTCTTGGTGCTGGTACTCGTCGTACGATCGCCTCTTTTTCCACTGTCACATCCGAACCGAGCCAGGGTGTGGGACAAGCTCGCGGTGCTGGTGGGTGCCGTGTTTCCCCCCCCCCCCCCGGCTATTTTGCCGGGCCTCGCCAAAGACATCTGAATCTGGCTCGGGGGTGGGGGGGGGGGCAAGCAGGGCCGGGGGAGGAGCTCGCGATGAGTTGATGGCGTGTGTGACGTCAGTCCGTCACGACTCATCGGTCGCTGTGTAGCGACTCACACGGCGTCTCGACTTGTCCATTCTTGACGCTGGCGTGCCACTGACTAAGCCCCCCCCCTCCCTCCGGCACAGCTGGGTTGTACCGGTGTGGAAGAGAGGGTATTGACATCTACGCCAAATTCGGTGCTGAATATTTTACGGGTCAACGGGAGACTGAAATCGATGGCCCATGACTTGCAGCGGCCGAAAGCGACGTTTTTCACGCCGATCACCCGGACAGACCCGGCTGAAATTGAGCAGCGCTGGTTAACAATGACAGGGGGTTGCCTCCTCACTCTGAAGATCCCTCCCCCACAACAAGATCCCACCCCTTCACATCCCCCACCTAGATCCCACCCCTCCACCTCCCCCACAACAAGATCCCACCCCTTCACATCCCCCACCTAGATCCCACCCACCACCTCCCCCCACCAAGAATCACCCTCCCCATCTCCCACACCAAGATCCCACCCCCCCCCCCCCCAACAAGATCCCACCTCCCCCCACCAAGATCCCACCTCCCCCCAACAAGATCCCACCTCCCCCCACCAAGATCCCACCCCTCCCCCCACCAAGATCCCACCCCTCCCCCCACCAAGATCCCACCTCCCCCCACCAAGATCCAACCTCTCAAAAGTCTCCTCGAGCCCAGACGTTCACGGTGGCCCCACGTGAGCTCCCCGTGGGGCGGAGCGTCACGACCGCGCTGCGGCTCGGCGGGGTTGGGCCCGGCCCGTGTTCGAACGCCGTGACCCACACCAGACGCTTGCTTGCCAGGTACTGTAGGTGCTGTAGGTGTGTGTGTGGGTGGGGGGGCTGTGAGATGTGGCTGGCAAGATGGGTGTCCCGAGTCTCTCCCGCCCCCCACCGTGTATGTACAAATGCAGGGTTTCCTCTATAGATTGTCTGCTTTGCTCCCACGTGAAGCCGAACACTACATGAACGATATTGGGCTAAATGTTTATTAGGAGACTCGGCAAAGATTCTTTTTTTTGGGGGGCGCTAATTAAAATTCGGCATGCGTGTGCTCGCGATAAACCGCACGTGGGTTTTGTGAGAGATGTAATTAGTTATAGAGGTGGGGGGGGGGCGTTGCGGTTGCTGACTTCTAAATTATAAATATTCTGTCCGTGTGCCTTGTACGTTCGCATCCTTCCAATTAACGCACCGTAAAAAAATTTGCGTCAAATAAACATTGCTCGGTTTGGACGCCCGTGTGCGTGCCTCTGCGTGCGTGTGTGTGCGGGGAGCGGTAGTGTAGTGGTTAGTGCTACGCTACGCTATGAACCCGGCGGGTTCGATTCCCGCTCACGGCCACCACCGGTGACAATTATCTGAACTGGTCCTGGGCCTCCCCTAGGTCGACTCAGCATCAAATGAGTACCTGGTGTGGGATGTAAACGTCGCCACTGGGGAGACAAAGGTGGTCGGGCGTGGTGCTCGCCACCCACCCCGTCGAGTGCAGGGCCGTTCGTACGCGATACTCGCTAACGGCACTTGCCCCCACAAGTCTCTGCAGGCTATACGGGCGATCTTTATCTTTAGAGAGAGCGAAAGCTGTCGAGACCGCGTGGCTGTGTTCACGTTTATTTACGAGCGAGTTTGCACGCGAGTAGCGATAATCAAAAGCTGTAATCGCACCCCCCTTGCCTGCCCCTCCCGCACTCACCAACATCAACCCCCACCATTCTTGTGTGCAGCGTCGAACACTCAAAGGTGCAAGGTTTAAAACACCCCCCCCCCACCACCCTCACATGCCCAGGGGTTTAATAAATTGTGATTCCAGATAAGTCTGACTTTTTGGAGTCCTGGAAAAAGTTGATCACACGCACACAGAAGAAAATAAAAAAACCCATATTTCGCTTCATCGTAGCACTTTGCAATCCACTTCTTTCGTAGCTTTTATTTGTATCATCTCCCCACAGATAAGTCATACAACTAAATAATTTACATTTTCCCCATCCACGAAAAAAACCGTCTTGACAAAAAAGCCTACTCTGTGCGTTATCACATTTTCCCAGGACGCCACTCAAATCGAACCGAAATGCACCCAATCTCGTCCGTGCTCGGACGCCAAGAAGGCTTGAGCGTGGTTGAGCACGTGGATGGGTGACCACCGCCAGGGCTTGCGGGAGGTAGCGCTCGGTGGGCAGAGCGTTCTGCCACCTTGGCGCAACGAGGCGGGCATTGGCTCTTATCGAAACTCAACTATTGCACTTCTTTTATTTTACCGGGTAAGGCCCCACTGACCTATATAGCTCTCTTTCAGAAGTGATCTGTCCGCAAATGACAGCTGAACTTAGTGGCTTATCACATGGACATTTATAGCAGCCAAATAGAACACATGCCGATTCTAAATGTGGAGGGAAAAACGGGAGGACCCGGAGGGGAAAATCCACGCGACCACGGGAAGAAAGACACCGCAAACGCCAAACATACAACAGGGTCGGGATCGAATCCATGACCTCCTGTATACCAGGCGAGGTAGTTCACATCTCCTAGCCACCGTGGCGTTAGGAGCCTCTCATCGCCGGGCAACGTCACGCACCGACTGGTGCGTGCGCGTTCAGTCGGCGAGGAGTTCAAAGGTCACCGGAATCAGAATCTTTATCCTGGAGAAATCCCATGAGCTGCGAAGCTCTTCTTTTACACAGATGTCGGCAATTCAGTTCCCTCGGGGCCGCGAGCCCCTGCTGCTAACAATGCGCTCCTTGGCTAAACAGATCGTTCAATATAAAACAAAAAAACGTTCTTTTGAGCAACCGCTGCCTCTCGGACACATCCCAGGTGTTGTAGATTTCGGGTCGAGGTGCGACCGGGTAAACGGCGATGCCGAATCACCTCCCCTCTTATTTGGCGTGCTGGGTTTTCTCCAGATTCCTCCGGTTTCCTCCGGATTCCTCCGGTTTCCTCCGGTTTCCTCCAGATTCCTCCGGATTCCTCCAGATTCCTCCAGATTCCTCCAGATTCCTCCAGATTCCTCCGGTTTCCTCCAGATTCCTCCGGTTTCCTCCTCTCGCGCGACTCCCCCCCCCCCCCTTTGATGGAATTTGCCAATCATCCCCACTGGAGCAGCAGCCGCCACCCCTCCCCGACCTTGTGAAAAAAATGCTGTGGAGGCTTTCCTGAGTAGTGTTGTTACGATTTATTATTCAAATCAATATAATAGTATTTCTATATTGTATCGTGAAATATTTAGTACGGGGGGGGGGGGGGGCTGGTCACGTGACCTGCTTGCACACGCACACACCGCAGAACGTCCGTTCTTACACGCGTGTTCATCTCCAGCTGCGACGATTGCCTCGATTAAATCGACTTAAAGAAAATCTAATCGGCCACTCTCGGGGACCCCTATAGAATCGGAAGCCGCTCTCGCTTCCCGAATACTGGAAACCCCCCCCCACCACCACCCCCCCTCAAGCCAAATGAACACCACTAAGCCACACCCCCCCCCACCCCCAACTTGCTATCTGGTTAGTCGAGTAACAGAAGCGGGCTATCGGTAGCGCCATCGATTAATGAAGACATGGGGACAGCCCAGGCTCGGCAAATCTCGCCGGAATCGAGATCGCTCGATTACGAATCGACGCGCCGTCGCACGCCCTTAGCAATCCCCACCCCCCCAACCCCCCCCCCCCCTCCCCGTGCAGTCCCGCACTGTGCATCACTCGCAAGCAGATTTGAATAGAGTTGTTTGTCTTCAACGTTGACAACGGCTCTTCACAGTAAAAATGTACAGGACGATGGCGTTTAGAAGTTTGATTTGTCGCGGCTCTGTGGCACCGATCCACCACAGCGAGTGGCAGCGGTCACCGAGGAAGCGCCCCCCCCCCCTCCCAAGCCCCCCCCCTCCCAAGCCCCCCCCCCTCCCAAGCCCCCCCCCCCTCCCAAGCCCCCCCCCCCCTACCCCCCCCTACCCCCCCCCCCCGGCAACTGAACTTATTATAAATTGGCGCAATCGCTCAAGCAAACCCCGACAACGATGACGATGGTCTGGCTATTAACGCTCAGGTTAACAGACACACACACACATATATATAGATGTATTAATCGTGGTTTTACAGTGTCTTTTTAGCACACGTAGACTGCGGGGTGTGGTCGCTGGGTACTGGTGACAAGGGAAGGCCTTGTGAGCCCCCATACCCAACTCCACACAACCCGCCCCCACCACTCCCATGCGCCCACCACCACCGCCCACTATGAAGGGCGACTGTGTGCTTTAGGAGGCCCAGTTTTCCAGCTCCTTCAGTTCGTCGTCTTCCGCCACCTTCTTCTCCGCAGCTGCGTGTGTGCACGACACGGGAGGTGGGGTCAGGGGGGATAGGATTACGGCGGGGGGGGGGGGGGGGGGGGCACGGGTGGCATGGACGGGAGTCAGGAGGCACGCTTGGTGTCTAGATGATGAATGGTTTGTGTGTGCGCGCAATTTCGTGTGGTGTTGGCTGGGTGTGTTTATATACATGCGTCGGGTGTGTGGTGCCGGTGGTTAGGGTGATGGTGTGGTTACACGGCGGTGCCGGCGCAGTTATCGGTGTGGCACGTGCTGGGCAGCGGCTGGCTGGGTGCGTTTGGAGGTTGTGCCGACGCGGTGCACACCGGGAAGTGTGCCGTCCGCGCGTGGCGCCGGTGGTGATTGTGGTGGTTTCGGAGGTTGTGCCGGCGCGGTACACACCGGGGAGCGACTGGCTCGGCACGCTGGGCAGCTCGTCCTCCCCCACCGAGAGTAGCTCCTTGTCGAGCTCCTCCTGCTCCATCTCCTCCAGCTCGGCCATCAGCTCGTCCTGCCACACGCGCCGCGACCACGCGGGGTTAGCGACGGGGGGAGACGAAACGAGACGATGCAGGGCTAACGGTGAAGGGCTTCTCGACGACGAACCGCTGACGAGTGGAAAGCTAATTGGGGGGGGGGGGGGGGGGGCTTAACGATGAAGAATTACGTTTAATGTGGAGTAAGCTTTCGCGACCGATATTTGAATTAGATCGCTTCAATATAAATGCGTCGTTAAACACCGCCACCACCCGACGGAGATAAATTAGTGAGCGTTGTCACGCAAAACAAAACGCGCCGATTAGTTACGAGTTCAGCACACCGGTTGCGCGTTGGAGAGTAAACGCGGCACCTTTGCAATTCGAGTGCCGTGACGTTTTCGCCGGTAACTACAACCAGCATCATCAGGCGACGGCCTCATCAAGGCGTGTTCTGTGCACGTGACAAACCTCACTAACATGGAGGCGACCGAAACCCAACAAAACCCCTCCATCGTGGATGAAGAGTGAACAACGCAGGCGACAAACGAAGGACTTAACGGAGAGATACAAACTGCGAGGGCTGGACGGGTCGGGGCAAGGGGCGGGGGGGGGGGGGGGGGGGGTGGTCACACCTCGTCGTAGTCATCGCTCATGCCCACAGGTTTGGAGATGGCGTCGGAGATTTCCTGCGCCAGGTCCTGCTGTTCCGTGATGTCGGCCATGAGGTCGTCCACCTTGTCGATGTCCCTGCCCAGAGACGGGAGATGGCAGCAGAGGAGGCGGCGGCGGCGGCGGCGTTGGCGTCACAAGCTCCCAACAACTCGGGGGCGGGTAAACCGCGGTGATTGTGCCATGCGTGACACCGATCCAGGCAACGTTTTCTCGATGAAACCAATTATGTCAGCGATGCTGCGGCTGCGTTGGTAGCGGCGACGACTCAACATGTACGTCAATAAAACTCTGTGGCCTTAACAGGAATAATGTATAATCGGCGACGTTTCGGGCAATGGACCTCTTGATTGATATCACGTGCCGTGAAGAAGGGCCGTTGCCCAAAACGTCGCCTGTTAATTATTTTTCCCTTTTCAGGCCACAGTGTTATTGACGAACGTGCCGAGTTGTCAATTTGTAGCAACGCTGAATGGCAAGGGACTACTACGATGGGGCACGCCGATGCTGCTGCTGCTGCTGCTGCAGGCATCTTGAGCAGCAACGGTGCCTACGGCGGCGGCGCGAGTTGGAGAGGAGAAATACTCAATGACGAGTGACCCAACCCATGGGTAGCACACGCATGTGCATACAAAAGACAAAGATCCCCCATATAGCCTGTAACAGACTGTAGGGGCAAGTGCTGTTAGCGAGCACCTATGAAGGCCGGAACGGTACACGAAGGGGTGGGTGGCCAGCACCACGCCCGACCGCCTTTGTCTCCCTAGTGGCGATATTTACACACCGCACCAGGTACTCATTTGAGGCTGAGTCGACCTAGGGAAGGCCCGGGACCGGTTCAGATAATCGTCACTGGTGTTGGCCGTGAGCAGGAATCGAACCCGGGTCGCCAGGTTCATAGCGCAGCGCGCTAACCGCTACACTACCGCTTACACACACGCACGAACGCGCACACGCACTCACGCGCACACACGCACGCACACACGCATGCGCACACACACACACACACGCACTCACGTCCCTTCGCAAACAATATTTTCCATCGCAAGGGACTTTTATATCCAGCCGAAATATTTCAACTAAAGAGAAATTAAGGCGCGCGTTTTGCGTGTCTGCGAAAACCCATGTGGTAAGGCGACCGACACCGAATGCGGGTGTTTGACACTGGCAGTTACACCGGCAATGCTTGCCACAAATGAACCACAATAACGTGCCGATCTCGCATAAACCATCACGCGAAGTCCGCAGTGGCTTATGTCGAGCCATCGAACAAAGATGGTCACTGCATCGCACGCTTTCAGCTGCGCTTCTGCGGCCGTCTGGAACGCTCTTGCGATATTAGGAAGCCACTGGGAGCTATGGCACTTTTAATTCATCTAGAATAAAAAAAGAATTCCTTTAGAACCGCTTTTCGCGTTTGTTTTTTTGTCCTTCCCTCGCACCTCCGATTCACGCACTTGGCTACGTACAAAACGAGTTCAACATACATACATACACATGTGTGGCACTGGGAATGCATGCAACGCAGCAGTGCCTGTGTGTGACACAGGCCGTAAGAATGGCAGTGTGCGTCGCGCGGTCTCACATGTCCTGGTGCGCCTTCTTCATGGCCTTGGCAGCGAAGCCCATGGTCTTGAGCACCTCGGTGTTGGTGTTGGCGTTCTCGAGCGCCTCGCGCTGGAACTCGATGGTGGACAGCGTGCCGTCGATCTGCGCCAGCTGCTTCTCGTAGCGCTTTTTGCGCTTCAGCGCCGACAGGGCGGCTAAACCGGGGCGGTGGTGGGGGGGGGGCCAGCGGGGGCACGGTGAGGAGGAGCGGTCAGAGTGTCTTAATGTTCAGCTAACCCAGTGGTTCTCAAGCTATTTGGTATGGCGCCCCCCTCCCGCCCCCCCCCCCCCCCCCCCAAGAATTAAGACCTCGCGCCCCCCGCCCCAGGTTACGAAGGCATAACCAGAGAGGTCACACATCCACACCAGGCGCCAATGCGGTGTGAATAAGGCATGTATTACACGCTGTGTCTGAAGTGTTTTGTCACCAAACAACATGGCGCTACCATTGAAAATGTCTCCCGCACGGTATCCATGCCGCCGTCAGCACCCGCCCACCCCAGCCTGTAACCCCATGGGTTGGGAACCGCCAGTCTAACCCTATAGCCGTGCGTGGCGGCTAACGCCCGTGATGCAGCGCAGCAAAACCCCGGTTAGCCGGAACCCCGGCTAGCTGGAGTCTACAATAAGCCGGGCGAGGCTGTCGGCAAAGTAAAATTAGAATTCCGTGGCAGCTTCGCGGCCAAGATGTCGCAGCCAGTAGAGCCGCGTGTGACTCACTCCTCGGGGCGGCATAAACAAAGCCTGCATCGCCCCGGCGTTCAACACACGAGGGCAGCGGGGGTACACAACGCAGGGGGTACTGCCAGGTACTATTCGTCCTCGGTTAGTGTTTGGTGCCGGTGTGTCGGCGTTAGGCTTTTGTTCCCATCGATAAAATTTGGTGCCGGTGTTTGTTGCCGGTGCTCGCGTTTCTATTGGCGTTAGCATCCATTGGCTTTGGCGCAGGTGGCGGCGGTGTTTGCGTTAGGGTCTGCGGCAGTGTTGGCAGGGCAGGTTGAGGGGGAGGTCCATTGTCCAGCAAAGGGCTTTGCGAGCAAACACGATTTGAAATTGTGGAAATTTCCAAAAGCATTCAAAGGTGGCGGGGGACCCTGCTTCGCCGGGCCAACAAGCGTGCGAAAGGCTCGAAGGGGGAAGTGCAATGTCGCAATTCCACAGGAACCTAGAACCCGTGGTGGTTCTGCTTCAGCGAGATAGACACCACAATCGAGGGGGGGGGGGGGTTTGTGTTAGATCGCGTAAATATAAACGTGTCGTTAAACCCGCCACCACCCGGAACAGCCAATTAGTAAGGTTTGTCACGTAAACAAAACATGGAAATTCGTTACGAGTACAGCACACCGGTGTGTTGGAGGCTGGTTGTAATTACCGGCCAAACGTCACGGAACTCAAATTGTAAATGTTGTAGTGAGTTTACTCTCCAACACACAATCGGTTAGTGCTGTACCAGTAACGAAATCGTCACGTTTAGTTTACGTGACAAACCTTACTAATTGGCGAGTTTAACGCCACCTTTATATTTAGGCGATCTAACCCAAAAACCTCTATTGTGGATAACATTGGTCGCAAAAGCCCCCCAATTGTTACATTTTGAGTACGACGATGTACACCAACTACCCACCGGGATGTTCGGGGGTCAGCGGCTTGCTTTAACTTTACTCATGCAAAACATTTCACCTGCATCCCCCACCCCGCCCTCCGCCCCCCCCCCCCTTTCGAGACGGAAGAACATTCTTGGTGTATTCGGCACGTCGCCTCGTCCGTTTACATTCCGGTGCTACCACGATCCTACATCCGCACGTAACTTTTTTAAGTTAACTTTTTTCAAATTTCCGTTATGGGAATTTGCATGTGAACGGGCCATTCACGCCTGTGCAGTATTTTCGATTTAAATTTCCTGAAGCGCGCTTTTGCCTTCGCCCCGGTTGCTATTCGCATCGTGGCTTGCGATTGCTCCGTATTTCGGCGATCCCCCGCGGCCACTCTTTCACGAGGCCAACGCTCGTTCGACAAAAAACCTCCAACTTTTAATTAAAAACCTCTAACCACTCGGACACAACACATTAACAAGTACGCCCCCCGACTTGCACGCTGCAGTATATGCCTGTGGAGTAAGCGTCGCATTGCGTGTCAAACACGGACAAGTACATTAATTATTTAACGATAGGTCAGAGGTTGGTGCTGGGGACTTGGCTGTTGGTGGTTGGGTTGCTGTTTGCGTTGGAGATAACGCACGCTGTGAGCTACAGCGGAGCACAGTGTTCGGGGAAGTGATTCGACCGAGATTTCGCGCGCGTGTGTTGGGAGATAGAGGTCGCAGCGAATCTTGGACATTTGGTAAATGCTCGGTGGGGGGGGGGGGGGGGGGGAGGGGGTTGGGGGGAGCGGAATCGCCACAAAACCCTGATACACAACGTCAAATACTTTACGAGTACGCGACATCAAACAAAAGCCTCGCGCCGCGTTGACCCGGGGTGTGGGCATTGACATCCGTGCGCTGTGGCTCTGCGATCTGCGGAGGGGCGGGTGGGACGAGCGGTCTCGCTGGAGTGGGGTGGAGGGGGGGGAGCGGCACCACAGCCCAGACATGTTAGGAACCGCTGGGGGGTTAAGTGCTCGGCTCCGCAGTGTTCGACTTTCATTTGCCAAGGCCCTGCCGGTCACTGGGGGGAGGGGCCCTAATATCCTTTGGTGTGCCCCCCCCCCCGACAATACACAGACAGTAAAAACACTGCCCTATCATCATCGTCGTCGTGCTGCTGTCTGTGACGGTCACCCGCACACACTGATGAGTGACGAACACTGCTAGGGGTTTGGAGCTTGGTATGTTCAGGGTCTCTCACTATCTACGGGGGACCTTTTTTTGGCCAGTGTCGAAAATGATGGAAAGTAAGAATGTGTTTGTACCCTTTCTGGCAATAAAACCGGAGGCGTTAAGATGTTCAAACACCAAAGGGGCATCAGGTCTGCAAAACGTGCAAACAAACATGCTCTGATAATAATGCACGCGTTCTGTTCGAAGCCGATTGGCCTACACCAGAGACAGCTTCCTTTCTGGCCTCGTCTCACCACCGGTGTTAAGACCAGATAACACATCGCCACAAGGTGAAGGGTAACAAAGGCAACGCAAGTCATCAGAGCAACTAACTATATGGCTCGGGTCGAGCGGGGCGTCAGTGCTAGGAGATTCTCGTCACCGTGGGAGCGCCACGGTGGCTAGGGGACGTTAACTACCTCGCCTGGTACGCAGGAGGTCGTGGGTTCTACCCCGACCCTGACGCCTGCTGCTGCTGCTGTATAGTTGAAGTTTGCGGCGTCTCTCTCTCTCCCCGTGGTCGCGTGGATTTTTCTCCGGGCCCTCCAGGTTTTTCCCCCTCTACATTTAGAAATCAACATCACCACGCGTTTCGAGCATTTGGCCGCCGCTATTAAAAAAAAAGTCCACGCTATGACCACGAGAAGCCACTTTCGCCGACCTATTAGCACTATTCGTGATGGCCAAGTCGCTTCTGGAATTAAAATCGCTAACACACATAGCTCAGTGCGGGGGTAGGGGGCAGCTTCACCTGGCAAAGTCAAATGCAGGGTGCTTAAACAAAAATGTTAACGCTTACGTGCGACTATCGTTTTTCAAGGAAAAAGAACGGATAATTCACTGTAACATGATAACAAATGTAATGTTAATAGCTTCAAAAAGTCAAAGTCTCCACTTGTTCGCCACCATCGTTAACGCGTGCTGAGCATTTTCTCCAGGTCGTCTCCAAGAGCCAGGAGGCACATTTCTCGTGACATTGTTGCAAATTCTTAGAAGTTCTGACATTTATTTTTTGAAGCACCCTGTATAGTATGTAGTGTAGTATATAGTATCATTAGACCTCCTTTCCCAATACCAAAATGTAATAATAGGGTTTTTCCCCTTTTTTCTGGCAACAAAACTGAAACCTTTTTACAAGGATTCATGTCTGCATTAACCACAATACCTGCAGTAAAAATGCAAACAAAAAACATACTATGATAATATATGCATTAATAAAGTATTAAAGCTTTCGTGACTGCATAAAATTACTCATTGGTTTTTTCGGTAAAGTCACGTATGTAGAAATAATAAAATTATATTAAAACAAACCAATCACGACGCTTCGATCACAACACAAGCGATCTTCATCAGGTGTCAAGAACAAATCACGGAGGTAAATACAACAAAAAAGATGAGAGACGAGAATTTAACAAACCTAAAAAACATTTTGTGAAGCACAAAAACCAATGGGTAAAGCCCACTACGGTATTAATTTTTTCAGAAGCGACCTGGCCACAAATAATTCCTCAACAAAGTGGCTTATCACGTGGAAATTTATAGTAGCCAAGCGCTCGAAATACATGTTTATAAATGTGGAGGAATTATTTGTGGCCAGGTCGCTTCTGAAAAAAACGAATTAATACCGTAGTGGGCTTTACCCATTGGTTTTTGTGCTTCACAAAATGTTTTTTTAGGTTTGTTAAATTCTCGTCTCTCATCTTTTTTGTTGTATTTACCTCCGTGATTTGTTCTTGACACCTGATGAAGATCGCTTGTGTTGTGATCGAAACGTCGTGATTGTTTTGTTTTAATATAATTTTATTATTTCTACACACGTGACTTTACCGAAAAAACCAATGAGTAATATATGCATTGTCCTTGAAACTGATTGGTCCACACCAAGGGACGGCTTTCTTTTGAGTCTCGACCCAATTGGTGCTCGACCAGATGACGCCAAAAGGCGTCACACAGCTCAAAGACAATGCCACTATCAAAGTAATGAGGGCTCGGGGTGAGCATCTACATCATTAGACCTCCTTTGCCAGTACCAAAATTTAATAATAGGGTTTTTCCCCTTTTTTTCTGGCAACAAAACATATATTATTATAGCATGTTTTTTGTTTGCATTTTGACTGCAGGTATTGTGGTTAATGTAGACATGAATCCTTGTAAAAAAGGTTTCAGTTTTGTTGCCAGAAAAGAGGGGAAAAACCCGATTATTATAGTATATAGTAGTCCAGTGTATAGTGTAGTATATAGTAGTGTAGTGCATAGTGTAGTATATAGGAGTGTAGTATACAGGGTGCTTTAACATTTTTAAACATATATATGGAACTATCGCTTTTAATGGAAAAAGAACGGATAACACACTGTAACACGATAACAAATGTACGTTAATAGCTTCACATAGTCTAAGTGCCTCCACGTGTTCGCCATCGTCGTCAACGCGTGCCTGGGATCTTCTCCAGGTGGTCTCCAGAGGCCCCGGGGGAGGGAGCACATTTCTCGTGGCATTGTTTGCGAATTCTCAGAAGTGTTAACATACATTGCTTTTTTTAAATATATTTGTTTTAAACACCCTGTAAATGCTGTCAAAATAAGTATCATTTTTAAAACGTTTTTTTTAAACACGCTTTTATGAAATGTGCTGGTAATAGAACTCCAGGAAGTGGCCCCGAAGCTTGCCATAACGTAAGGGACCGTGGCCATTTAGACCCAAGTCGAAACATAACATATAAAAAATTATGTTTAAAAATACTTTATTAGATTTTTGTTTTCATAGAACATAGTATTGTCATCGATATGACATAAGTATAGCAAGTTTCCAGTCGATACCACATTGGGAAGTGGGTTAACATTGAGCTACAAGATTTGAGGCTACAACGACGACAACAACAGAGCGGGTTAAATGAAAAAGCGTGTGGTAAAAAAAAAACGAAGAATTAAAAATCGTCGAGTGATACGCACCGCGCTTGTTGGCGGTGCCGTGTCTCCGGGCGAGGGCAACTTCTGCGTCCACCTTGCCCTCGAGGAACTCCTGTTTCTTCACGAGCATCTCCTCCGTCTCGCGCAACTTGTGGATGGCCTCCTGAGCCGTGGGGCCCGAAGACGAGCCCTGGGACGACCCGAACAACTTCGCGAGGACGTTCATGGTGACCCGGCGGGTGATGAGGTGGTGGTGGAGGTGGGGACGCGAAACAGCGGGTGATGAGGTGGTGGTGGTGACGCGACCCAGCGGGTGATGAGGTGGTGGTGTTGGTGGTGGTGATGCGACCCAGCGGGTGATGAGGTGGTGTTGGTGGTGGTGACGCGACCCAGCGGGTGATGAGGTGGTGTTGGTGACGCGACCCAGCGGGTGATGAGGTGGTGGTGTTGGTGGTGGTGACGCGACCCAGCGGGTGATGAGGTGGTGGTGTTGGTGGTGACGCGACCCAGCGGTAGAGGTGGTGGTGTTGGTGACGCGACCCAGCGGGTGATTAGGTGGTGAGGCGACCCAGTGGGTGATGAGGTGGTGGTGACGCGACCCAGCGGGTGATGAGGTGGTGAGGCGACCCAGCGGGTGATGAGGTGGTGGTGACGCGACCCAGCGGGTGATGAGGCGACACAGCGGGTGATGAGGTGGTGGCCACCAAACGAGGGGATGAGAGGGGAGGGGGAGATGAGGGAAGGCGAGGTTTTAATCAAGGAGGAAAGCGAAGCGGGGATAGAGACGAGATGAGTGAGGGGAGCGCTGTAGCCGAGCGGGGGGGGGGGGCTGATGATGATGACCACTGTAGTTATTGACGAGTGGTGAAGGAGACGACGATGATGACGAGGTGGCTGATGAGGAGTTGTTAGTGCTGAGCTTGACGATGGGGAGGATGATGAGGAGTTGTTAGTGCTGAGCTTGATGATGATGATTGAGGATGATGAGGCGTTGTTAGTGCTGAGCTTGATGATGATGATGATTGAGGATGATGAGGCGTTGTTAGTGCTGAGCTTGACGATGATGAGGCGTTGTTAGTGCTGAGCTTGATGATGATGAGGAGGATGATGAGGATGAGGAGTTGTTAGTGCTGAGCTTGTAAACGACAACGAGGAGGATGATGAGTAAAACGCTGCCGACTTCTGTAACGCGAGCCGCTGTGTTGCTCAATCTGGGGGTGTGACGTCACTTCCTGACCGCAGCTCCTCCTCCTCTACGGGGGCCCGCGGGGTGGAGGGGGGGGGCGATGACAAAAAGAAAAATCGCGATTTTAAAATCGTTCAAAATATCGACACCTCACCCGTAAATCCGCCAGATTTGTGCATTTGTTAATGTTGTGGCTTTGCCCTCTAACACACCGGTGTGTTGTATTAGTAACGAATTGGCATGTTTCTGTTTACGTGACGAACCTTACTAATTGGCTGTGTCGGGTGGTGGCGGGTTTAACGACACACATATTTTTACGCGATCTAACCCAAAAAAAACACCCCTCGATTATGGATGAAATTGGTCGCGAAATCCTCCTACGCGTTAAAATAAATATGAATTGTTTCCTTATCGTGGACGAATCCGATGAGCTGTAAAGCTCTTTATATATAGAATGTTTACAGATATACAGAATGGCCGTAGTGTATTGACCAGATTGTAAGACAGCCCCCGACGGTAAGAAGCACCAACACACACACAACTTGTATGAAGAACTGTCGTGCCCGGTGTCAGGAAAGTTAATATCTCACAAACACAAGTAGGCATCCGATAAAGTGATACACAATATGACCACACCAACTGCTGGATTATAAGACGCACCCCGATAAAACAATGTGGACACAACACAAGCTGGATTATAAGACGCACCCCAATAAAGTTATACACAATGTGGACACAACACAAGCTGGATTATGAGACGCACCCCAATAAAGTTACACACAATGTGGACACAACACAAGCTGGATTATAAGACGCACCCCAATAAAGTTACAATGTGGACACACAACACAAGCTGGATTATAAGACGCACCCCAATAAAGTTACACAATGTGGACACAACACAAGCTGGATTATAAGACGCACCCCAATAAAGTTATACACAATGTGGACACAACACAAGCTGGATTATAAGACGCACCCCAATAAAGTTATACACAATGTGGACACAACACAAGCTGGATTATAAGATGCACCCCAATAAAGTTATACACGATGTGGACACACCGGATTATAAGACGCACCCCAACTTTTGCTTTAAAACACCGTACAGGGATCAAAAGTGTGTCTCATAGAATATATTAACATTTGGAAAAGTGCAACTTGCAAATACGGTAGATTGTATATTAATTATTTCATGACATTAGATCGCTTTCATTCATTGTTATTAATGAGACTACATTAATTCATTATTATGAATGAATGAATTACATTAATTCATTATTATGAATGAATGAATGTAGTCTCGTCGCTTTTTGAACTTAATTATTAAGTTTTGTGTTCGTGACTCACGACACAGTACTGTGCCGCACAGGAAACAGCTGCCACTGGGGGTGCCCTTTGAATGTTTGAGATGAGATGTTGAGACGCTTGGAGAAATTTGAAGCATTTCACGAGATTCAGATTGCTAGATTCATCAGCAGCAGCAGCCATGATCTATCCCCCGAGGAGTCGCCAATGCCTTGTGATACACCCACCACGGGACAATTCCCACACTTTTGCTCCACTTTCCCAACTCCACTGGCTGCCTGTCGAGTATCGCTGTCTGTTGGTATCTCACACTCCAGTCGTCTGTAAATCCCTCCATGGGAATCCCCCACCGTCTATTTACGCGATCTAACCCAAAAAAACCTCTATCACGGAGTGACTCATGTATAGGTTGGTTGCGTATTAAATTGCCCCGGCGCGTCACCTCTTACGTACTTTTCCCCTTAAGGCAAGGCTGTAATAATATATATTGGGACACCCCCCCCACCCCCCAATATTCAAATACTGTACAGTAAAACCTTGGATTGCGAGCATAATTCGTTCCGGAACGTGTTTGTAATCCAAAGCACTCGTATATCAAAGCACTCGTATATCAGTTGTGATCACGTGACGGTCGGCGGACAAAGCGTATACGTACTACTACTCGTATTGCAAGGCCTCGCTCGTTTATCAAATTAATATTTATTTTAAAAAAATTGGTCATTTTGCAAAACACTCGCAGACCAAGTTACTCGTAATCCAAGATTTTACTGTATGCTCAAAATGTCCCCCCAATATATAGCTATCAAAAATATTTAAAAAGAATCATTGCTATGCTATGTAAATAAAAACAATTTGCTAAACTTCTAGATTTGAAGCTTTCGTGACTGCAAGGATTCATACTCTTTGGTTTTATTCGGTAAAGTCATCTGTGTCACAGATATTGTGTTGACTTTTCCACCTGAAGACGGAAGCTTGTGTTGCCTCCGAAACGTGATTTAATTATTTTGTTTTATTTTATTTTACGTGACTTTACCGAATAAAACCAAAGAATTTGCTAAACCTTTGCCACAATATCTGGACTTGTCTTCATATAACAATGCATCGATTTCTGTTTATATTATTGTAGTTTTGGTTGTTCTTGATTAATCCCTAATCGCTGCCATTAAAACAAGGTAAACAATTAAAACAGAGCAATGTAATACAATACACTATTAGACATTATTGTAAAACATAAATAAAAAGTCCATCCTATGTGTTAGTGATTTTTTTAAATATTTTAGACAGGAAATTCGTTTTCAAATTTATATTTTTTTCTGGGGGGGGGGGACCCCTAGACCCCCTGGAAGATTTGGCCCCCCAAATGTTGACTCCATGGCTACGGCCTTGCCTTAAGGCCACAGAGTTATTGGACACTAGTGTTCAAAGTGCTTGTCCACGTTGCCTCTCGTTCTTCTTAGCAGTAGGGGAGGCAGGAGGGGGGCAGAAACGATGAGAGGGGGGGGGGGGTATCACGTGGATCACGTGGCCGTGACTCACACGCGGACGAGTCACGCGCGGCGGGGGCGTGACCGGGGGTTGGGGGGAGGGCGTGATGGCCTTCCCCGACAGTGACGTCACGCGTACATCTTCACGAGGGCGACGTCACAGGCGACGCTTTCATTATGAATTTACCTGACATCACGCGCCCCGAGAAGCGGTTGGGCGCGGAAAGCGTGTGACGTCCCCCGTGGCGTTTTGTAATCGCCGGATGACGTCATCGCACCTTACAAACAAAACCGGGTGCGGGGTGGGCGGGGCGACAGGGTGGGCGGGGCGGCGGGGAAGATTTCGCCACCGATTGGCTCGCGAGCTGCGGGAAGGAGGGGGGGGGCTCAAGAGCGCGGGTACAGTCCGGAAGCGCGCGCGTTCACTTGCGGTGGTTGGCGACTGTACCGACCCCTCCCGCGCGTGGCGCCTCCGTTACCCTCAAAGCTGCCGCGCCGCCGCCGCCGCCGCTGCTGTGAGTTGGTTACCTCGTGCTGTAAACTTACCTCTCGCACCGCTCACTTACTATAGCCTCTCTCGGTCTCTCACCACCCCGTGCAACGCTGTCGCCGACCGTTATATTTGTCTCGGCAACGCTCGCTGTCCCGTCTCCGTTACCCACGGGTTAACACTCGCCCTGCTGTGTCGCTGGGGTTACCCCCCCCCCACCCCCCCACTTTGTTACCCCGAAACCCTCGCCGCGGACTTCCACATCGGGCTACGTGCGGACGTTGTCGCGGGCCTTGTGCGCGCAGTTTGGTTCTCTGGGCATCCCTTAACCGATTCAGAATCGGGAGTGATTTTACTTGACCTGGAGGAATCCGGCGAGCTGTAGGCTCGTTTTCGCAAGACGTGGGGGCTACAAGCGATACGGGGAGACACGGTGGTACAGATGTGCGGGGTTATAGGGCTTCAGCAGGGGTAACAAGGATACAGATGGTGCAGAGACACCGGGGTACCGGGGGCTACAGGGAGACAGCAGTACAATGAGATGTGGGTTACCAGGCGATGGGTATAGGGAGACGGGGGAGACGAGGCGTTCAAGGAGACGAGGCTAGTGAGATTGAGGAGAAGACATCGCGAGGTGTGACGAAGTGGGAAGCGATCACGAAGTGCGCCATCTCTCGCCAACACCTCGCAGGCGTGGGCTTGGTCCGGTCACGGCTGGCTCGCGCAGCACGAGAGGCGGCGACGCGCTCGAAGAGGCCGCGGTGCCGTAGGAGGGCAGTGTGGAGTGAGAGCGGGGTGGTGTCATGGGGAAGGACTGGTGTGCAAGCAATGTTTTAAGGAAGGTCTGTGGGTTGTGATGGGGGGGGGGGTGACGTTCTGTGTGGTAGTGCTGTGTGTGGTGTGGTAGTGCTGTGTGTGGTGTGGTAGTGCTGTGTGTGGTGTTGTAGTGCTGTGTGTGGTGTGGTAGAGTTGTGTGGTGTTGTAGTGCTGTGTGGTAGAGTTGTGTGGTGTGGTAGAGTTGTGTGGTGTGGTAGAGTTGTGTGGTGTGGTAGAGCTGTGTGTGGTGTGGTAGTGCTCTGTGGTGTGGTAGAGTTGTGTGGTGTGGTAGTGCTGTGTGGTAGAGTTGTGTGGTGTGGTGGAGCTGTGTAGTGTGAGAGGGCGGTGTGGTGTGGTAGAGTTGTGTGGTAGAGCTGTGTGGTGTGGTAGAGCCGTGTGGTGTGGTAGAGTTGTGTGGTAGAGTTGTGTGGTGTGGTAGAGTTGTGTGGTGTGGTAGTGCTGTGTGGTAGAGCTGTGTGGTGTGGTAGAGTTGTGTGGTGTGGTAGAGTTGTGTGGTAGAGCTGTGTGGTGTGGTAGAGCTGTGTGGTGTGGTAGAGTTGTGTGGTGTGGTAGTGCTGTGTGGTAGAGTTGTGTGGTAGAGTTGTGTGGTAGAGCTGTGTGGTGTGGTAGAGTTGTGTGGTGTGGTAGGGCTGTGTGGTGTGGTAGAGTTGTGTGGTGTGGTAGGGCTGTGTGGTAGTGCCGTGTGGTGTGGTAGAGCCGTGTGGTGTGGTAAAACTTGTGGGATGGAGGGGAGGGCTTTGTGGTACAGGAAGGGAATGTTGTGGTAATCTAAGTGCTATGTTTTAAAATAAGGGTGGTTTGGATACCAGTGTGAGTGTGTGGCTGGTCAGAATTTCGACTCTGGTCAATTGCACCACCGGGCTACTTGCCTGGGACAATAACACACACACGTCCAAATATGGACCTTGGCAATTCAACTTCCTCCTGTGGCTACTGGTGGGGCATTGGTTCATGCACTCCGATGTGAATATAGTGGCCCTGAATCCATAATAAAAATGTTTTTGTGGTTAGATTGTGGAAATATAAACATGTTGTTAAATCCGCACACCACCCGACACAGCCAGTTAGTAAGGTTTGTCACATAAACAAAAGGTGCCAATTCGTTACTAGTACAGCACAACCGGTGTGTTGGGGAGTAAACCCGCAACATTCGCAATTCGAGTACGTTTCGCTGGTGATTACAACCAGCTTCATCAGGCGATAGCCGGCATTGTGAAGAAGTCCTCCTGTTTCGGCCTGGCCACCGCTAACGTCATTGGCAAGTGATACCTCAACCGCTCCTGGGCCCCCAATAACCAACTTACATTGACCAGCGTGAAGTATGGTCAAGTAACCACCATGACCCGCACCGCGTGGGGAGGTTTTCATTCAGCAGTGGATTGACAAAGTACTTTACAAACCGGTATTATCATGCGCAACAATGTATTGTCACGTGGAACAATTTTGCAAAGCAAGTGCCGATATCTTTCGGATGAATGCTACTGAAAGGAGAGTATATGTAACCCGGGATTGCAATAAAGGCAGTCCCGAGGTGGACGAGAGTTGATCCTGCACCACTGCGACGATGATGCTGCTGCTGCTGCTGCTGTGTATGCGTCCTGAACCCTGACTTGTCCCGACAGGCTCCGATCGCGCGGGAGGCAGCATGGCAGCCGGCGTGAGAGCCGTCAAATAGCGCCGGGTCGCGCCAAACGCACGCCGTCACCCGCGTGGGGATGCGAGTCAGTTCAGGGCCCCAACCGGGCCGTGCCGCGCTCTTCCTCCTCTCCGCCGCGTCCGTCTGCGCCGCGCTGAGCCGGCCGGCGCCGCGGGACCAAGTGAGCGCCGGGCCGGAAACGTCGCCGGCCAGAACCGTAACCGAAGTCCCGGTCAACGCCTCGGGGCACCTGCCTGCCGACGCGGGCGAACCGCTCGAGTCGTTTCCGAGCGGTGACCCCGCGACGGATACCGATGGGAGCGGGAGAATCGATGGGAACTCCCCGCGCAGGGCTTACCTCCTGGCGGGGCGCGCAGGGGGAACGGAGGTCTCAGCCGCCCCGGTGAAACGGTTTCCACGGCCGGCCGAGCCGAACGCACAGAGGATGACGACGGCCGTGACAACCGCCGCCGCCAACGGCACCGCCCCGGCGACCGTCGCCACCACCGTTGCGACGACCGGTGCAGCGCCCTCCGCAGCGAACGCCACCCTCTTCTACGGCGGCGGCGGCGGCGGCGCGAGTCCGAGGCCGGGGATTTGGCTGGGCAACGCGACGGCGGCGGGCTGGGCACCGGCGGGCGTGTCGCACTTCCTCGACTCGCCCGTGCTCTACATGCTGCTGCCCTTCGTGCTCTTCAACAAGTGCGCCTTCGGCTGCAAGATGGACAGCGAGGCGCTGCAGGGCCTGCGCTCGCGGCCCGCGCCCATCGCGCTGGGGCTGGCGGCGCAGTTCGGCGTCATGCCGCTGCTCGGCTACGGGCTGTCGCGCGCGTTCGCGCTGGACGAGGAGCTCTCGCTGGGGCTCGTGGTGGCGTGCTCGTGCCCCGGCGGCGGAGGCGGCTACCTCTACAGCCTGCTGCTGGGCGGCGACGTGGCGCTGGCGCTCGCCATGACGCTCGCCTCCACGCTGGTGGCCGTCGCGGCCATGCCGGCGTCGACGGCGCTCTACAGCCGCGCGCTGGGCGTGCACCACACCCTGCGCGTGCCCTTCTCGCGCATCCTCGCCACGCTGCTCTTCGTGCTGGTGCCCGTGTCGCTGGGCGCCGTCATCAAGCACCGGCGGCCGCGCCTCGCGGAGGCGCTGCTGGACGTGATCCGCCCGTTCACGCTGGTGGTGGCGCTCGGCGGGCTCTACGTTGGCGCGCACGCCGCCGTCTCGCTGCTGGGCGGTGCCGGCGCCCCGGCGGCGCTGTACGGCGCCGCCGCGCTGGTGCCCGTCTGCGGGCTCCTGGTTGGATTGACCCTGGCCCGCGCCGCGCGGCTGCCGGGCCCCGCGGCCCGGGCCGTGGCCATCGAGTGCAGCGCTCAGAACAGCCTGCTGGCGCTCGCCGTGCTGCAGCTGTCGCTGCCGCAGGCGCAAGCGGACCGCACGTCGAGGGCGCCGTTCCTCATCGCGCTCAGCACGGCCGTCGAGATGTGGGTGCTGCTGGCGCTGAACGCCGCTTACACTCGCCTGCGCCCGGCCAAATCCGACATCTAGCTCGCGGGGGCGTGGCGAGCCGTATTTATTTGGATGGCCGTGGCGCAAGGCGCCGGTTTCCACGCAATGTCCGGAGGCGCCGTCCCCGTTTGGCGGCTCCCTTGAAGAGCACCACGTGAAGCGTTAAATTAAGGTGTCTCATTAAGTGGTGGGGGTGGCGTAGGGGTTGGTGTGAATTGTAAATAGTCGTCCTCGTTGCTGACGCTGCCTATACAGCCGCAGTTCTTGCCACAATTCATATTAAATACACGCCTTGCAAAGATCCAGTGCGAGTTGCCCGTCGCTGTGTTCATTGTGCAATACAGAATGTTGTTTCCTCACCCGCTGAGTCGTGGCACCGTGTCGCTGTGTTTGTTTTCTGCTAACCAGAAGCCGTGTCTGGTGGGGGGGGGGCACTGCCACTGTGGATGTCTTGGGTGTCCGAACACCCACAGCATGTCTAGATGTGACTAAGAGACACCCACAGCGTGTCTATATGTGGCTAAGAGACACCCACAGCGTGTCTAGATGTGACTAAGAGACACCCACAGAGTGTCTACAAGTGGCTAAGAGACACCCACAGTGTGTCTAGATGTGACTAAGAGACACCCACAGTGTCTAGAAGTGACTAAGAGACACCCACAGTGTCTAGAAGTGACTAAGAGACACACACAGCGTGTCTAGATGTGACTAAGAGACACCCACAGTGTCTAGAAGTGACTAAGAGACACACACAGCGTGTCTAGATGTGACTAAGAGACACCCACAGAGTGTCTAGATGTGGCTAAGAGACACCTACAGCGTGTCTAGATGTGGCTAAGAGACACCCACAGCGTGTCTAGATGTGGCTAAGAGACACCCACAGCGTGTCTAGATGTGGCTAAGAGACACCCACAGCGTGTCTAGATGTGGCTAAGAGACACCCACAGCGTGTCTAGATGTGACTAAGAGACACCCACAGCGTGTCTAGACGTGACTAAGAGACCCACAGCGTGTCCAGACGTGACTAAGAGACACCCACAGTGTGTCCAGATGTGACTAAGAGACACCCACAGTGTGTCCAGATGTGACTAAGAGACACCCACAGTGTGTCCAGATGTGACTAAGAGACACCCACAGTGTGTCCAGATGTGACTAAGAGACACCCACAGTGTGTCCAGATGTGACTAAGAGACACCCACAGTGTGTCCAGATGTGACTAAGAGACACCCACAGTGTGTCCAGATGTGACTAAGAGACACCCACAGAGTGTCTAGATGTGGCTAAGAGACACCCACAGTGTGTCTATATGTGACTAAGAGACCCCTACAACATGTCTAAATGTGACTAACAGACATCCACAGCATTTTAGACGAAACATTGTGGTATTATTTTTGAGTCTACGTATTTTTTCCCCTCCAATGATGGAAACGTTCAATACACAATTGCGCACAGTCGACTAAGTACTGAGTCACCAATTCATTTTAAATGTTACGCCACATTTCCCTCTTGACTTCCTTCAATCATTTGTTTTAAGAGAGCCTACACTGCAATAGTGTCACAACAGCATCGTTAAAAGACACGTGTCAAGCGAGGTTGTCTTAGTCGTACAATGGCGCGTGGCAACAGTAATTGTGACGGCGTTTGCAAATCACGCGGTCTCGTCCCAATATGCGCGGTCGCATTTAGGCACTCGCATCACCGGCCGCTGTCAGCCTGCCGCTGGACGGAGGACTCGCAAAGTCGCTGCCATCCATCCCATGTGCTGCACCAACGCACTCTTGTAAACTTTCTAACGCATTTTTATTTCATCAGGTGAGGCCCACTGAGTTGCCGTATTGAGCTTTTTGAGGAGCGACCTGGCCACCACAATTGATCGCTCGGCAAAGTGGCTCATCATCACGTGGGAATGTATGGCAGCCGAATACACTGAAACGCGTGGTGATGCTGAAGGTGGAGGGGGAAAAAACCGGAGGACCCGGAGGAAAAATTCCACGTGACCACGGGAGGAGAGAGACACGCAAACTCCAAATATTCAGCAGGCGTCGGGATCAAACCCACCACCTCCTGTATACCAGGAAAAGGAGATAACATCTTGAAGTCAATCAGTGTGGCTCTCCTGGGTGAGTATATACTAATACAGATTACATTAAGACAATGAGCCAATTTACTTTCGATTCCTATCGCTCGTGACGCACGGGCATGGAATCATCCGTATCGGTGTCGATGGTTTTCCAACGGGAGTGGAAGGCCGACGGACGGTACGCATCCGAGCGCACGTTCGCCGGGGAGACGGAGCGACGAAATGGGTTCGTGCAGGTGCGAGTGGATTATCGCACGTGGGGGGGAGGAGGTCGCGAGAGCGTAGAAAGAGGAACGCGTGGGTCCGATTGGAGTGCGTACCGCGTGCTACAACGCGCGCACCTTGCGTGAGAGAGGCAAGAGGACTTGGCATGGACGCGGCCACCTATGAAGAGGATTGTGAACGATTGGCAAGCGTGATAATGGAGCCGCAGCCAAGGGATGGAATGTTCGTGAGGGGACATCGACCGGCGATGAAATCGGCCCCGCGCGTAGTTGCCACGTGGATCATGAGATCGCAGGCGCGTGAGAGCCGGAGGGGGGAGGCCTTCACCCAGCAGTGGATTGATTCAGGTCGGATAATAACGATAATCGATCGTGTAATAAATCTCTTGTTCATCCGTTGAACACCGACGAAAGGGGGAGAACAGTCGCGCAAAAGGGGCAACAGACGGTGAGGCCGGGGACGGAAGTTCCCCGAGACGAACAGAGAGGAGGAGGGCACGGCTCGGGGTGAGCAGGAGGAGGAATGACCGGAGCAAGACATCAGGAATGAGAGGGCGAGTGATGAGAGGATAGAGAGGAGCGAGCGGGAGCGAGCAGCGTCTGTTTTCACAGGGTGGCGGAGCGGAGAGGGATTCGGACAAAGATCCCCCGTATAGCCTCGGCAGATTGTTGGGGCAAGTGCTGTTGATGAGTAGCACCTTTGAAGGCCAGGCACGATACACGAAGGGGGTGGGTGGCCCAGCACCACGCCGCGCCGTATTCGTCTCCCGAGTGGCGATGTTTTTATTTTATTTACACATCGCACCGGGTACTCACTTGAGGCTGAGTCGACCTCGGGGTAGGCTCTGGACCGGCTCAGATAGTGGTCACCGGTGTTAAGCGGGAATCGAACTCGGGGAGGGCCGGGTTCGTAGCGCAGCGCCCGAAACCGCCACGTGCAAGTCGCGTGCGTTCCGGGCGGGCTTGTTGATGATCGAGACACATGCAGGTGGAGCTCGCACGATCCCACCGGTGATTGCGTCCACCTGGCGCCTGCACACGAGCTGATGTCATCGCTCCGTCTCCCCCCGGTGGACGGTGTTCTCTCGAACACACACAGTCGTGAGCGGTGTGTTCTTTTTAAATCTCAGATCCGCACACGTATGTAAATGGATTTCACGCGAATGCCCCCTTGCAGGCACTCGGGTGGGGTGGGTCGCTACGTTCATTATTGCCCCCCTGTTGGCCAATGCATGCAATGAAATACATTTCACAATCATGTTTTAAATGGACTGGAGGAATCCGATGAGCTTTGAAGCTCTTTTTCACTGATGTTCAGTTGTGGGCGGGTCGGCAAGTTACAACAACAAACAATACAACAATACAATGTGGATTTGCATACACAGCACCGTATGAACATCCAGACACATAGACTCACATAGACACCCATAGACTCACATAGAGAACCATAGACTCCTAGAGAGACCGTAGACTCACATAGAGAACCATAGACTCAGATACACATAGACTCACATAGATACGCATACACTCATAGAGAGAACCGTAGACTCACATATACACATACACTCATAGATCCGTAGACTCACATAGATACACATAGACTCAGATAGAGAACCATAGACTCATAGAGATACTCATATAGAGAACCGTAGACTCACATAGAGACCCATTGACTCATATAGAGAACCGTAGACTCACATAGATACACATAGATTAACATAGAGAACCATAGACTCATAGAGAACCGTAGACTCACATAGAGACGCATAGACTCACATAGAGAACCATAGACTCACATAGAGAACATTAGACTCATGCAGAGACCCACAGACTCACACAGAGACCCACAGACTTAAACAGCTATAAGCGACCAGCAGTGGTGCCACAGCGCATCTTGGGACAGTGGACGGAGCGGGGAAAAGCTTGCAGAGGCCTCTGTGGTCTTAAGCAACATCCGTGAAAACGACTGGGCATCTGTGAAAAAGAGCTTCATAGCTCATCGGATTCCTCCAGGATAAATAACATCTGATTCTGACAGTGGGAAGGTTTGTGCGCAGCAGTAGCAATCGTCGGCCCCGCACTGGACATCTGTGTGAGAGAGAAAAAAGCTTCACAGCTCACGGGATTCCTCCGGTATAAATAAATAAATACTCTTTACTGTGAAATGTCCAGTGAGTCACCAGGTGCCGCACAAGGACAGCAACCACTTAGGATGGGGAGTTCCTTCCAATTCTTGTCACGAGATGGTGATTGAAGGCACTTGGCAGTTGCTGTGGCATTTCAAGCAAAGCGCCCTTCAAATAATGATTTTTTTTTCAATGAACTACATTACGACTTACTCTTTTTTTTACTTCAGGCGTAGGTTTGGCCGGACAAACCCAACATCCAATTGTTGAATCTCCAATGTCACCATAACTATTATATATACTTTTTTTTAGATATATATCGGCGCACACGGGAGGTTTACGGCTTGACCTAACTCTGTAACATCGAGGTTTGAGTCCACAGGGATGCTGTGGGAATCCGCGCAGCGACTCGAACACGAGGACAGCAACTCGCTCCTCTTGCAACTCTCCAGCCGCGTGGCCTTCGCGCGCCCTCTCCGACGTGGCCACGTTCGATCGTCCGACGTGGCCACGTTCGATCTTCCGCCTTCGTGCGTGCAACGGTGGGTTGCTTGGCCGGCTACGTACGGCGCGAAAGAAGTTCAACGTGCGGCTCAACGCCGGCAGATCTCCCGTCATCGACGCGACACCGCCGACGCTGTAGCAATATCTCGGTTGACCAACGGTCCTCGAAAAATCCTCGCTGTCATTTGTCAGCGATGGCATGTTTGGCCAGTCGCATTTGTCAACGCTGTGTGGGGTTTTTGTTGTTGTGGGGTGATAAGGGGGGAGTTTGGGGTAGGGAGAGAGGGCGGTTTAGCTGAGAGGGGAAACCCGAGGGGCCGGAGGAGAGCCATGCAGAAGTAGGCGCACAATAAGAACGCACACTCACAGGACGCAGCGAAACCCAGACGCTTGTCACGCCTGTTAGGGGGCTAAAGCGACGTTTC